GCATGACTATTTTACACAGTGTAATAAGGCTGCAGGTTAGCCAGCCCTGGCCTAGATTATGAGCTCAAACTCCCAACGTGGAGCTGGAATCCCACAACCTTTTGACTCAGAGGCAAGAGAGACGACGATTGCGCCAGACTGATAGAGACCTAAAATAGGCAGACTTCCACCTCTGCTGTCAGATGAGTCACAACCTGCATAAACTGCCCTGCCCGCTCACTGTTACAGTTTCGCTTTCCTATATCCAAAATAAGCAGACGAGATTGGCCCTGCTTTTGATGCAATGCTGAAATAATCACCACAAGGTCCTGCTTCTAGAGGTGATTACTACCAGCTCACGTAGGGGTCTTCAACCAACACCAGAAACAAGAATATGATGATAGGGTCCCTCCTGCTGTCTTTGAATGCACGGGGTATTGTGCAGCCGGCCACAACATTGGTTTCAGTCTGTCGACTTGTTAAGCCACTGTGAATACATGCGTTCAAAGTGAAATAACGTACATACCTCAGTGGTTGTTTTTTTTGACTTTTTCAGAACATTTGCGAACTTTCCATCCCTCCTAAAATAGAAAAAAAATTGGGCTTCTTGTATCTTATCAGCTTGGCTTAGATGTAGCTCTCACCTCTGAGTTAGAAGGTCAAGAGTTTGTGTCACGTCAGGACATGAATTCACATTGTTTAAGCTGACAATTCAACATGGTGTTGGGGTTGTGTTGCATTGTCAGAGGTGCCATCCTTCAGATGAGACATTAACTTACATACCCATCTGCCTGTTCCAATGGATGTTAAAGATCCCATGGCACTTTTTGAAAAGAAAGTGGAGTTCCTCCTGGGTATCCTGGCCAACAATCCCCCGAATAAAGTTGATCACTCATTTCATGGCTGTTTGTGAGACATTGCTATGCACAATTGTGCTGCCATGTTTGCCTACAGATACAGTGACTCCCTTTCACAGTAACTCCTGTGAAGCACTTTGAGATGTCCTTCCGATATGATAAGGTGCTATACAAATGCACTGATTATTATTATTATTATTGTATTAATATTTTTACATTGAAACATTTCAAAGTGCCTCACAGTAATTACTGTCAAGTGTAGTGACTGGTTTAAGGTATAAGTAGCAGTCAGCGAGGTCCCACAAGCAACGTGAAGTAGGATAAAGGAACAGTAGTAAGAATAAACGAAGCCAAATTGACCCTGGATAGTAGGAATCTAAGAGGAACAAGGGGATCTAGAAATTCAGATTCACAGGACTTGGTGCGACTCACTCAGTCACTCCACTTTACATATTTCTTGTGAAGCGCTTTGAGACATCTGGACAACATGATAAGGCTCTATATCAAATGCAAAAATATTATTATTATATTATTATCGTAACTCTGTAAAGAAATGTCTTCTGGTTTCATTTCTCACTGGCCTAGCTCCAATTTTAAGGCTTTGTGCCCATGTCTTGGATCCTTCAAAGAAAAGAAAGTGACATATTTTATTAAGCTTGTAAAAACCCTGAATTAATGTAAAAACCTAGATCAGACTACCATTGGCATTCGCAGATCTAAGAAATATAATCCAAGTTTCCTCAGACAACTTGAATTATAGCTAACCCACTTCATCCCAGGTATTGCTCTGGTGAATCAATGCTAGATGCCCTCAAAGATTATATTGTATGCTTTTGAAAAAAGTTTGGCCTACGGATTTTACTTCTATAGCCAACTATTGCTCTCTCCACCAGCTTGTTGCATTACATTAGTTAGATCAACACATATCAACGCAACCTTAAACACATATTTTTTGTGGTGAGCCTTAGCACTGCCTATCTCGGTTTTTATTCAGATTGCTATTATTAGCTTCATACAGCCTCACTGCTATGTGGTATTGCCATCGGTGAGACACAGTTACACATTTAGTAAGGTCAGTCTCACTTCTTGATAAACCATAGAGTGGTGTTGGTCACGCTAACTCTGCTTCAACACTCATTGTGTGGAGTCCTGTGGCATAATAGTTAGAACACCTGCCTCGCAAGCGAGACGACCTGGATTTGATTCCCAGGCAGGGCGAACCGTTAGGTAAATTTCTTTACTTTACACGCCTCTGTTCAACTAGCAGTAAGTAGGAACCCGGTTGTTGGTCGATTGGCAGATTGCTTTTCCGGGGGTAGTAATCGCTTAAAAAAAACTAATTTGGTGGCTCAATCCACGACTGTTTGTGGGACACTACTATCCCAGTATTGGCTGCTGCATTTCGCCCACAAAATACGCAGTCAATTCACTTTACAGCCTATTCTGTGAAGCGATTTGAGACATTTCGAAGACGTGATGAGGCACTATATCGAATGCAAGGATTATTTTTATTATTATTATACATCTCAAAGCAATTCAGAGTTTTCTGTAAAGTGAAGTGACTGTAGTTGTAGGTGAAAGCAGCAGCCAATTTCTGCATAGCAATATCCTTCAAACAGCCTTGAAGTGAATAGACAATTTTATCTGGGGAATTGTTGGCCAGGACACCAGGAGAGACTCCCTTCTCTTTCCCAATAATGCCATGGGATTGTTAATGTCCCACCTCAACATGCAGACAGGACCTTGGTTTTGTCTATTCTGAAGGGCAATGTCTCATTCTCCAGCATTGACCTGGAATGTGAGCTCAAACTCTTAACGTGAGGCTCGAATCCTCTGACTCCGAAGAGTGCTAGTGTACTAATTGAGCTGGGTTTTATTCTGTAGATGTCAATCTACATCTAATAATAATAATAATAATAATCCTTGCATTTGATATAGCGCTTTTCACGTCGGGAGGACATCCCAAAGCGCTGCACAGAACACACTGTAAAGTGAATTGACTGCATATTTGTGGGCGAACGCGGCAGCCAATTGCGCACAGCAATGTCCCACAAACAGTCGTAGATTGAAAATGACCAATTTATTATTGTTTTTGTTTTTTGGAGGGATTATTGCAGCTGCAAATGGAAAATGTCACAGCTGCAAAGAAAAAACTTTTTTTTCTAAAAGCAAGTTTCACACTCTGAACAAATGTTGTGTTTTGTGAGTGAACTTGGCAGCCAATTTGCACACAGCAATGCCCCACAAGCAGCCCGGAAACTAATTAACTTTTTTTAAATCTTTTTATCCTTGAAAAATAATGTTTCAGAGTAGTGTTACAGGTATGTGAGAAGTTAATTGGGATAGAAAACATTACTTTCAGATACACTGAGACACCAGGACAATTCTCGGCGACAATAATTTAAAAAACGTAGAATGTACTTTGAAATATGGCAATTCTGGGCTGATTATTTTTAACTCACTCTCCTTCATCTTATATATCTTTATATCAACCGTCACCAACTGATAGTTTCCACTGAGTCATTACTCCCCCAGTCTTCCACTCTCATTTGTACATAGGTCATAAGCTCTTAACACCTAACCAGGTGCGTAAATCCACAGCATAGATCGGATAATATTTCATCATTAAGTTACACAAAGTTGCAAGCCTTACCCAAATACGCCACATGCTTTACTAATGCAGGAAATGGAAAATGTCACACTTATGAATTCAGTAATGCTTTCCTGAAGCTGGGCGTTTAAATGCATTATTTGGACATAGCAAAGATGCTTTGTTTTATTTTTAGCATATCCTATACGGTACCTGAAAGAAACTGATGTCACGGAAGTTCCAACACTGATATTATTCATAGGCACATCATGCACAGCAATGCTCCACAAACTACAATGCTTTCTATTACAAAGTAAGTCAAAAAACACAAACAGGAAAATTGAACAAACTTTATTAAATCACTAAACCAGCAAACAGCGTCATTTCAACTCATTTTCAGAAGCAATAAATGAAGCATAATTTACATAAGTCTAAAGAATGACTTGATGCCCGCAAAATACTTTGAACTGTCACTACAAAGGAATGTTAAAAAGTACTTTATACAGAAATACTGATTGTAAAATGGTAAAATCAGACAATATTTAAGGCATTAATAAGCTTCAAATATGTATTGTTTTAAGCCTTTCACTGTTATTTTACATCAGTGTAAATGGCCACTAGCACTGATTAGACCTAAAGCCATGGGGCTCTGGCTGCCTGATTGGAATAAAACAATTTCTGAGTCATAGAACTATAAGAAAGTTGCAGCACAGAAGGACATTCGGCCCATCCTGGTTGTGCTGGCTCCTTTCAGTCCTATTTACCTGCCTTTTTTTCTAATAACTCCTGTATTTGTTTCTTTTTTTAGGTATTTATCTAGTTCCTTCGTGAAAGCTAATATGGATTCTGCCTCAACCACTGTGCTTGGCTGGACATTCCATATCCTAACTCTGTACTCTGCATGAAAATATTATTCTCCCCCTCTCTCTATTTGCTCATTTGCTAATTATCTTAAAGCCAGGGAAAAACAGAAATCCTCCCTTCTGTAGAGCACCTCTGACAAACATATATTCATCATAAAACATCATAACTGATTACACCAGTATTATACTTTTACTTGCCTCGAGGGAGAATGAAAATATATGTGACCCAAGTCTGAAAGGAATAGACTACTTTTCTGAGAAGGATGCACTGACACCTAGTGCCTATTTACAACAATGCACAAAAGAACACAATTGTTTCTTGGTCAACCGGGCGTGTGACTCATGCGGAAACCCATCACCATGCTTAAGAGTATCCAAACCAAACTGAGATTTCCATGCATCTAACTACACATGAAAATCCCAGAGATAGATTGTTGGAAATGAATCCAGACTCTCTCCCTAGAAGGATGCAGCCTGCTTATCTAATTCCGGAAAGTATTCGGCTCAGGTTGCCAACAGTCAAGGCTTGGGGACCCTAGAGTGTGCGTTGGGGGTGCTGCTGGAGTCTAACCAGCTAAAACTACATAGCTTGCTATTGATATTGCTGTCCGGCAAGCTTTCCTGCTGTTACTCCAGCTAGGACCACCCTACCCATTAGGGCTTTGGCTTTGCAGGGTTAACAGGAGCTGAGTGGAATGACTCCCTGCCCCCAGTGACGAGTTTGCTCATCCAGGTCCTGGTGATGAAACAGCATATTAAACATGTTTTACTTGAGCACGGCAAATGTGGTTGCATTGCATTCATCAGTTTGTCTTCTGTATGTTGTGGGCTGTACCGTAACTGTGGCATAATAAACCGAATCTTCATAGAATTGTTTATTTTTATCTTTGACCTTCAAGGCAGCGTATTCTGTCGTGTGGTCAGGATCTGGCATTTGCAGTTGTTTATTGTTTCTTTTCACAGGATCTTTGAAGATAATAGAGGCATAATTCTGTGCATCCTCACTGCGAAACGTATTTTCCTGTAACATAGACTGGAGTTTTACATTCACGTCAGAGTTCTTGGGAAAAACCTTCCTTATTTCCTTTGAGTTGATCTAGCATCAGTGCTGAATTGTACTCCAGAAGTGTGTGATCGAGTACTGCTGGAATTTAACTCGCTAAAACTGCACAACTTGCCATTCAGAGCACTATCTGGTAAAGTTCCCACTACTTGCCCAGCTAGCGTAGAAAAAAATTCTACCCCTCCAAGTACTGCCAATGAGTCAGGCTTCCTGTTTTTTCATCAGCCAGTGTCCTTACATCCACTGTTATTAGAAGTGAAAACAAGTCATTTTATTTAAATTAATGAGCAAGTTCTAAGTTTTGAAAGTGCTTGTTTTCATGCGATGGTGTTAAAAATTATCTTTAACTTCACAGATCTCTGGTACAACTGGCTATTTTAAAGTATAGATATATATATGATACAGCTAGACATATAGAAAATAATAATAAAAATAATCCTTGCATTTGATCTTATCATGTCCTCGAGACGTTTCAAAGCGCTTCACAGAATATACTGTAAAGTGACTGAATATTTTGTGGACAAAACGCGGCAGTGACCAAGTTGTTGTTATTATTTTTGAAGGGATTATTACCTCCGGAAAAGCGATCCAACAATCGATTAACAACTATGTTCCTACTTGCTGCAAGTTGAATAGACGCATGTGGAGTAATGAAACTTGCCCAAAGTTTTGCCCTGCCTAGGAATCAAACCCAGACAGGTGCTCTAATCCCTAAATAAGTTGGATTCACAAGCAATATTTAACAACATTTTAAAAATAAACTAACACCTGATTTTGGAGTATTGTGCACATGGGTTCACCCACAAAATACACAGTCAATCCACTTTACAGTATTTCCTGTAAAGCGCTTTGAGACACCTCATCGACATGATCAGATGTTATATTTACTGCAAGAATTATTATTATTATTGTTGCTCTGAGAAGCTACAAACATACAGTGAATATAGACCCAAGTGGAATTTGTCCCAATAATAGAAGTAGACTGCAAACCCAAATTACATTTTTTTTACTGGACCGTGTTGTTCAGACAGAAGTCCCACCGTGAAATATCAAACCTGAAGAGAAACTTTGCAATGGTGCTGATGTGCGGCCTCAACCTCCAGACTCTGAGGCGAGAGTGCTACCAATTGAGCTCGGCTGACACACCGAGGTAAATCAATTGCATTTTCTTTCTGAGTTGAAACGAGTTGTTCTAATCTTGTACGGCTGCACCACTCGTCAAACCACATTTAGAATATTGCGTAGAATTTAATCTATACACGGTAGATATCAATTAACTTCATAAAATAGAACCAAATTCTAACAGGAACATTTCAAAAAATATCAAAAAATATACTTACTTCATGACCTGATTCATTTCCTCTTTGGCCTATTTTTCTATCATCTTTGCAGATTGATACATCTGTACAAATATTTCAGACAACACGTCGTGGTTTATTCAACAAGATGCAGTAATAACAAGGATAATTGTGGAAATTATACATCTATTGTGTATTTATATTTGCATTCACTGTGTTATCATAGTTACATATTAAAATTATGTTACTTGTCAAGCTGTTTTGTTAAGCTTGTAACTAAGTTACTTGTTAGGCTATTTGTATTTTGGCAACATTGAGACATTTGCATATCACGACATTTTTATTTTTGCAGCTATGTTAAACTACCTTACATATCCGTGTTACATTGTTATATACAGTATATGGAAAATTAAGTTCATATTGTTCACATTTTTCCTGTTAAAATGGTTTCTCCATAACTTCTGAGATGTTCAGTTAAATATTAAATCACATTGGATTGTAATTCAACAACTTGTAATTGATTACCTTCATTCTTCCCTTTAGCCCGCTGATTCCTTATGATCCAGACACAAAATGGCAAGATGACAATGATGATGAGACTCAACAGGCTGAAGTGATACTTAGAAAAACCTTGACATTACAATTGAAAAATGAATGATAAACCATATGGATGGATTGCAAGCAATGTACCACAAGTGCTAACGTTTTAAATGAAGTTACATTCAATTCTTTTCACGCAATATTACTCACACGATATAATAATAATAATAATCCTTGCATTTGATATAGCACTTTTTGCACGTCTTCTAGACGTCTCAAAGCACTTCAAAGAACATACTGTAAAGTGAATTGACTGTATATTTGTGAGCGAAATGCAGCATGCAGATATAGATGACATGCATTATTTGTGTAACATTATGGAATAATAAATACAATATTAATATAATAATAATCCTTGCATTTGAGATAGCGCCTGATTACATCTTCAAGACGTCTCAAAGCACTTCACAGAATATACTGTAAAGTGAATCGATTGTATATTTTGTGAGCAAAACACAGCAGCCAATTGCACACAGCAGTGTCCCACAAACAGTCGTGGATTCAGTGATCAAATTAATATTTTTTTGAAGGGATTATTACCCCGGAAAAGCAATCCACCAATCGACTAACAACTGGGCTCCTACTTACTGCTAGGTAAACAGAGGTGTGTGGAGTAAGGAAACTTGCCCAACATTTTGCCCTGACGGGGAATCGAACCCAAGTCCTCTCGCTTGCGAAGCGAGTGCTCTAATCACTAAGCTACAGGACTCCACAATTTTATCACTTTAACATTGTCACTTCTGAATTTTTACAGTGGAATATTTTTATTGTATCTCCTTCCAGTTTTATCCTCGTTTCTTGTGAAGGCACTGAAACACACTAACCACAAACAGTTAATATAACTGCATCACATTAATGTCAACTATTAGTTATTGTAAACTTACATTCTTACTGTGCCACTCCATCCAGCAACTTGTTACAAGCAGTCCAACACAACTCTAAATACCAAATATTATAGGTTAAGGCTCTTGGCACCTTTGCTAATCTAAGTTAGAGTGTTTCTATCTCTCTCCTCTTCATCTCGCTTCTCATCTAGAGAGTTCACTATACACTGACGAGAAAGCATAACTTGAAAATTGTGGAACTTAAGACTTAAATGTGCAATTGTGCCCCTTTGGGTGTCAACCCCAAGGTCCCAGTGACCTACTAATAAATCCCCAAAACCATAGGCACTAATGTCGATGATGTACAGAACACACTGTTAAGACGGTGTTGTCATGTCTATTGATGCAGCAGGACTGACTAACAATAAAATAATAATCCTTGCATTTGATATAGCGCTTTTCACGTCGGGAGGACGTCCCAAAGCGCTTCACAGAACGCACTGTAAAGTGAATTGACTGTATATTTGTGGGCGAACGCGGCGGCCAATTGCGCGCAGCAATGTCCCGCAAACAGTCGCGGATTGAAAATGACCAATTTAATTATTGTTTTGGGTTTTTGGAGGGATTATTATTAGGCTCTGTGTGGAGTAAGGAAACTTGCCCAAGGTTTCGCCCTCTGCCTGGAATTAAACCCAGGTCTCTCGCTTGCAAAGTCGAGTGCTCTCACCACTGAGCTCCAGGACACGATTGCAAAAGGCACATCCACTGCTCCTTTTTAAAGCGTCAATGAGACCTCTCTACGGGAACACATCGAAAAAGGCGAATATTGGGAAATGAAGTTGCAAAGCACGTTCACAACTTACACTAAATACATCACAGCAAACGCACGCTGCGATCTCTCGCCTTCGGTGTCTTTTTTTCTCTCTCTCTCTCTCTCTCTCTCTCTCTCTCTGCTGCTGACGACTGAGCCGACGATAAGCTCTTCGCCTTCCCCACACGGTCGAGGCTTATTTTACTCAACGAAAAGCGCAAAACCCTTAGATCGCGATCAGAGGAAAGCAATGCACTTTGTCGTTGAGACTTCACCTCCAAATCCATCGCTTCCAGAGACGAAACCCCCCACTTCACTGTTGAAATTGCTGTCATTTGGGCTCTGAGAATGACAAGAAGGACTTTCCCAGTCCCTGCAGAGAGAGAGGCTGTTGGGGGGCTATGAGTTGGTTTTACTGTGCGTCGTGTGCAACACTGAGAATTATTATCATCACCGGTTCTGATATCACGAGGGGATGGATGAGAGGCTGAAATCCGCAGCAATTTCGTGTGGACACGTTCCTCGGGAAAATTTCTCGCACCGAGAGAGAGAGAGAGAGAGAGAAAGAGAGAGAGAAAGAGAGAGAGAGAGAGAGAGAGGACCCCCCCGTTTTGCAACGTCGCCCGTTGTTGGGGGGGGACTTGGTTGCAATTTGCTGGAAAAGAGGTTATTGACGGTGAGTTGCAAACGTGTGATAACCGGTGATGCAAAGAGTATCTGTATCAGGAGGACGACAACAACAACAACAACAACAACAACAACAACAACAACAAAACAGCTCCACTGCAAAACCGTGAACATAAAGTCGGGGGTTTGATTTTAATTTTGATTTTGATTTTAATTTTAATTTTAATTTTAATTTTAATTTTAATTTTAATTTTAATTTTAATTTTAATTTTAATTTTGATTTTGATTTTGATTTTTATTTTGATTTTGATTTTTATTTTTATGTGACTATCGTTTCCAGTCGCACCCGATAGAACGCGATCCCTTTTTGACGCAAAGCGAAACGTGACTCACCCGCAGTGAAGCTGATCCTCTCTGTACCCGGTGGGATGAGGGTGATGTGCTGAACCTGACAGGTGACAGCAGAGCCCAGGCGCCAGTCAGGGGTTTGGAGGCTCAGCCGTGAGCTCAGAGTGAAGGTCCCGTCGTCGTTCACTGTGAGAGATGCGGACTCTGTCTCGTGCGGTACATCTCCCGCAACCGTCCAGGAAACATTCAGATCTCTCGGGAAAAATCCCGCAGCCACACAGGTCAGAGTCTGAACTCCAGAGGTCCCACTCTCCGGATCAGCTGAGACACTGATTTGGGGTTTCGCTTAAAATAAATCATACATTTGGAAATCATTCGCGCACCAACTGCGCGTTGAAAGTTTATATTTGCGCAAATGTGAGAGATGGAATGAAGAAGAAAAAAAATGCAGAATCCAGAAACCTCCAAAAAGCACAAACAAATACTAACTGATGTTATGTCTTTTTTTTATATTTTGAAAGAAAAGCTAAAGCTCGTCTGTGTTCCATCTTTGCACCCACGTCTACAAAGAAATTGAAATAAAACAAGGATTCGTTCCTGCAAAAAAAAACCACAACACAAAATCCTCACTGTTGAGTTTTGTGCAGTTTTTCGTGTTTCTCGCCTCCTATTCTGGTGCCAGAACTTCTGCAGTTTTACATTTTGTCTATTTTTCCGCTGTCTGCAAACACGTTTTACCAAATATAAGCATTGGCTCTTTAATGGTTATTGTTAGTAAAACTTGGTGGTCTCAATAGCTAACAAATAACATATCTATCTACAAGCGTTGGTCCTTGGCTTCAAATATACAAGGATTTCAGCTCTGGTCAGTGTGAATTTCGCCCACAAATATACGGTCAATTCACTTTACAATATATTCTGTGAAGCGCTTTGAGATGTCGAGAAGACATGAAAAGCACTATATCAAATGCAAGGATTATTATTATTATAATTACCTTGGATCCTCAGGTCTGTTCCATTCCCGGTGAAGTTTCTACGGGGCAAAGGTTCCTCTACAAGTATCCAGCAGTAATATGTGTCTGAATCATTCACTATCACCTCGCTAAACACAAGCGAACTCCCAGATTTAGATATACGAGAGGTTTCATCGATGAACGTTGGAAATCTATTATTCTGAACAGCAATATTGTCTCTTGTTCTATACCAATAGTATCTGACAAATGTCAGCTCCTCTCTGGATTCCACAGTGCAGTTGAGCTGAGCTGGCTGCCCCCTGAGAAGGGTCAATGAGGGGACCTGAAGCACTTTGACACCGACAGCACTCCCTGTAAATCAAAATAACAATGCAGAAATAACAAAGGTAACCTGTATTTAATCAAAAATGGTCCGAGTCTTGTTATAATAAATGTTAACGGTTTGGAGTGAACGTTGATGCTTACCTAGGACGAAGAACCAGAAATTGTGAAACATCTTTTCGTTAAGAAAAGTCAACAGAAATCTTCAAGATCTGAAGCTGTGAGGTTTAAGATCTCCAGGAGATTGCTGGTGTGACAACCAACCCGTAGGGTGTCACTCTGCTCTGGTGGTGTCTTGCAGAGTCAGTGAGCAACTGAAGAAACTGCACGTTGCTCTCCTATTTACTTCATCAGAAATGCAAGGCATGATCTTTCTCTATGACATCTGGTAAAATAACTGCATGGATTGAAGGGAGTTAATTTCAAAAACCATCTGCAGATTTATTTTAGGAATTAATATCTTGGGATGCCATATATAGTTTGGGACATGACATGTGTATGGGACTGCCAGGATGGTGGAAGTTCCTTGGGGTTCCTTGGTCTTCTTTTGTCCAGCTTTTCCTACGTTATTTATCATTGCAGTTACATCAGGTCTTCTGATTACATTTCCTCAAATTATAGGATTCCTTTGGAAGAATCTGCCATTCATTGTTTTCCACAAAAATGGGAGGAAAGCTCCACAAAACAAACTCAAAAAGGAAATTCCAAATTAGTGGGTTACTTAACACAATGTAATTTGATCCAATGCTGTCCTGTATTACTATATAAAAAAATTGGAAGAGACATTCCAGTGTAAAATTATAGTTTAATCCCACTTCATTTGATGTAGAATCATAGAAATTTATATAAGGACGCTATTGCACACATCATGTTGCTGCTACTAGTTCTCCAACCAGAGCTATTTATTCTCCCTGTCCTCTGGGACCGTTTGCACCCCATTAAAAACCGCTGTCATCAATCCTATCCTTAAAAAACCCTCCCTGGACCCTTCTATACTCCTTAACTACTGCCCCATCTCAACCTCCCCTTCCTCTCCAAGGTCCTGGAATGAGTTGTTGCTGCTCAGCTTTGCTCCTTCCTCTCCCACTATTCCCTTCTCGAACCCCTCCAATTGGGTTTCCGTGCTGCTCACAGAACAGAAATAGCCCTGGTCAAAGTGACAAATGACATTCTGTCCACCTGCGACCAGGGCTCCCTCTGCCTCCTCGTCGTTCTTGACCTCTCTGCTGCTTTTGACACCATCGACCACTCTATCCTCATCCACCGCCTCTCCTCTCATCTCAACCTACATGGTGCTGTCCTTGATTGGTTCTGATCGTACCTCTCACACCGCCTGCACTTCATCTCCTCAAACAGCTTCTCATCTAGCCCCCGGACCATCGTGTATGGCATTCCTCAGGGCTCTGTCCTTGGTCCCCTTCTCTTCAATAATTATATGCTCCCTCTTGGTGACATCATCCACAGAAATGGGGTTAACTTCCATATGTATGAGGAAGATACCCAACTCTACCGCTCTGCCTCCACCCTTGACTCAAGGACCACAGCTGTGCTGACAGAATGTCTGTCAGACCAAGTCCTGGATGAGAGCTAATTTTCTTCAGTTGAACGTCAACAAGACCGAGGCTCTCCTGATTGGCTCCGGTCAGATAATCCAGAGCTCTGCAGCCCATGTCCTCTCCCCCACCAATCTCCGTGACCCCATCTCCCCCATTCTCGCCCGACTCCATTGGCTCCCTATTCTTCAGAGGATCCAGTTCAAGATCCTGGTCCTCACCTAAAAAGCCCTCCATGGCTTCACCCCACCCTATCTCTGTGACCTCCTAAACCCCTATCAACCCATCCGCTCCCTCCAATCAACCGGCTCCGGCCTGCTCCACATCCCCCGACCCACCCACCCCATCATTGGTGGGAGAGCCTTCAGCCACTCTGCCCCTAACCTCTGGAATTCCATTCCCCAGTCACTCCGCCTCGCCCCCTCCTTAGCCTCCTTCAAGTCCCGCCTCAAGACTCTCCTCTTCGACCATGCCATCAGTCACCCCCCTTCCCCTCCCCTCCCTTCTCCCCCCCTGACCCCACTCGGGTCTGAAATGCTGTACTCTGTCCATCACCTTGGGACGTCCTCCCGACGTGAAAGGCGCTATACAAATGTAATCTTGTTGTTGTTGTCAGCATCTCTTCACCTCAGGCACTGACAGCATCACCATCCATGGTTGCACATGCTAAGCCAATCCGGAAACTTGGGGTCTTATTTGACCCTCAACTATCCTTTCTACCCCACATCTGTGCCATGACCCGCTCTGCCTTCCCCAACCTCCGCAATGACACTGTCTCACACCGCAGGCCGGCGAAACCCTCATACATGCTTTCATTACATCGAGGCTCGACTATGCAAATTCACTGCTTGTCGGCCTCCACAACTCCTCTCTCTGTTGGGAGGCAGAGGCTTTTAAGAGCTAACAGAGGAGGCAGGGCAAGGAAGACAAAAGAGAAAATGGGGCCGAAGACAGGGGATGGTGGGTTAAAAAGGTGTTAATGATGCAAAACAAAGGAGGATTGCAACAAAACAGGGGAATGGAGGTGTTAATAATACAAACCAAAGGGGGGGGAAATTGCAACAAAATAGGCAGACCAGAGAGAGAAAAGGTGTGTTTGGGACTTAGATGATGTGGTAATGGTCACAGAAGAGGGAGAGGGGGAGATGAGCTGTTATGGTCTGAAATTGTTGAAATCTATATTGAGGCCAGTGGGCTGTAAGGTGAGGTGCTGTTCCTCGAGCTTGCGTTATGACTCATTGGAACAGCGTAGGAGACCATGGATGGACAGGTCAGAGTGTGAGTGGGAGGAAGAGTTGAACTGGCAAGAAACCGGAAGCTCAGGGTTGTGCTTGCGGACAGAATGGAGGTGCTCGGCAAATTGATCACCCAATCTGTGTTTCATCTCCCCAATGTAGAGGAGACACATCGTGAGCAGCGAATGCAGTAAACTACATTGGTGGTAGTACACGTAAATCACTGTCTCACTTGAACTCTGTGTTTGGGGCCCGGGACAGTGGTATGGGAGGAGGTGAAAGGGCAGGTATTGCATCTCTTGCGCTGACATGGGAAGGTGCCTGGGGGAGGAGAGTAACTGTTGGTGGTGATGGAGGAATGAACCAGGGGGTATTGGAGGGAATGGTCCCTTTGGAATGCTGAGTGGGGAGGGGAGGGAAAGATATGTTTAGTGGTTGGATCATGCTGGAGGTGCCGGAAATGACAGAGAATTATTTTTTGGATGTTGAGGCTGGTGGGGTGGATAGTGAGGACCAGGGGGACCCTATCACAGTTCTGGGAAGAGGGGGAAGGGGTGAGGGCAGAATTGCAGGAAATAGGGTGGACACAGTCAAGGGCCCTGTCCACCACAGTAGATGGGAATCCTCGGCTGAGGAAAAAGGAAGACATTTCAGCTGCTCTGGTGTGAAAGGTGGCATTGTACATAAACACATAAACACATGACTGACCATGAAAGACATATTTTCTAGTGAAATTTGCAAAATGACACGTGCAGATAATTTAGGTACAATTGGCGATAATGTGACATAATATCAAATAGTAATAATAACAGTCCTTATATTTGATACAGCAGCTTTCATGTCAGGAGGTTGTCCCAAAGTGCTTCACAGGATAATCTGTAAAGTGGAATGACTGTGTGTGGTTTCTGGGCGAACATTCACCAAATTAAACAGTTTGGTCACACTGTATAACCAAAAAACATTTATTTTATTCAGCAAATATGAATCAGGATGATAGACCACAAGCTTTAAGCTATTTCATAGAATTGATCCACAATTTAAAGGTGAATTTAACATTTTGTGAAGTTACATTTTATATTAAGTTCAAGCACAAGGATAAAAATATTGAGGACAAGGTTAAAAATATTGTTGAATGAATGTTTAGCTGAGCTAAATTTGGGGCTTTTAGGACTGAACTAGAAAAGAATCAATACAAGGTTATGCAAGGAAATAATAATGTAAAGAATTACATATACTGGCTGTTCATAAGCAACACAAGCCACTCCACTAGTACTATCAAGAAAATTGATTATAACCTGTTTTAGTTAATGCAGAATGGAAGTGATACTAATGAGTAAAAGAAGCACAGCAAGGCAGCACCTTTCACGTCAGAACCAGGTCCCTAGAGCAGAGGGAGTGTTAAATCCAGATTTCGATGTGCGATTGCTCTTAAAGACCTGAAAAACTCAACACAGAGTCAGTGCTGAGTCCTGTAGCTCAGTGGTTAGAGCACTCGCTTTGCAAGTGAGAGACCTGAGTTCAATTCCAGGCAGAGGGCGAAACCTTGGGCAAGTTTCCTTACTCCACACAGAGCCTAATAATAATCCCTCCAAAAAACCAAAAACAATAATTAAATTGGTCATTTTCAATCTACGACTGTTTGTGGGACATTGCTGTGCGCAATTGGCTGCCGCGTTTGCCCACAAATATACAGTCAATTCACTTTACAGTGTGTGCTGTAAAGCGCTTTGGGACGTCCTCCTGACGTGAAAAGCGCTATATCAAATGCAAGGATTATTATTATTATTATTATTATTATAGTGCGGTATACATCCAAAAACGCTTTATTTCATATATGAGGTGCAGAGCGGTAGCAACAACTCTCTCAAGATACTGCTCCCCACACTGCACACCAGATAAAAACAACATCTGACTTTTATATATGTTCCATTTTCCCATAATTGGATGTCTGTTTCTTTCATAAAAAGAGATATGGGTCCCGGGTTCCTTATCACAATAACATATATACATTGATAGTTGCAAACCAAAACAAAGCTGAGCTTACACCAAATGCGAAAACATGTTTTGTCTCATTGCCTTTGCTTATTCTGTAACTTTTGCGATTGCCCAAAGATGAACAACATTCCCACACTTTCCACAGGAGCATGTAGATGAGGAAAAGAAGAGGGCTGAGATCAGCCGTACAAAAAACTTTTAACACACAAAGTGGCTGTAAGAGATTGAGCAGTACAGCTTCTGGTTTACAAATCTGCCCTTTTGTCTTCAAGGAAAATGGTCCTTCCATCTGAAAACATAGAAAGCAATTGATCAGTGTATCACTCTATCAGAAAAATCTATCAGTGTCTTCTGTATAACATCAAAAAATAAAGAGTAAACATGTAGAAACAAAAACAAATATCATAACAACATTGTAGCCCCACAATTGTTTAAGATAGGTTGCTCTAAAGAGATTCAGGTAAGATTTCATATGTTATAAACATAACTATGCGGTCGTTATTGTGCCTGAACCCATTCACTCTCATGCTAACAGAAACAACAAAGTCTAGAACTAGAAAAGACTGTCCAGACCTTCAAACCTGCTCTAATTGTATAGATCAAGTTAAACATGTGTATCGTGGACATAACATCCTTTCAACATCTTGAGAGAAGCAAAGTATACCATAGGTAACACCTCCAATGTCGCTTTCTGAAATTTCCTCCCAATTCCCATCGGTAAGTTAGGGAAGCAAATGTCCAGGATATTATTGGAAGCTTAAACCCAGGCTGTTCAGTTTGGAATAGCTGGCCTATTTCTTTCCCTCAAATCCTTCAATGTGGGGTGGATGGGATAATATGATATGTGACCTGATAATTATCACCAGTATTCAGATCCATATCATACAAACTTCTCAGCAGTTTAGACCACTAAATTGTGTTCCCTTTCATTCAATTTTTTTTCAAGCAAGACATTCAGTTGTACAAATCTCTTCTCACATTGTACATCACTAAATTAGTTTCACTTGTCACTCTTCTCTGAACTCTCTTCGTCCCATCACTTCCCATTAATCTAGAAATTGTCCATACTATTTTAAACGTGACTTCATTAATGAGTCTGTCAGAGAATTATTCGGTGTAAGGTTCCTTTAGTAATTTACGTTGCCTTTAAGGTATGCATAACACTTGCAGTTAAACTCACCTGAGATCACTCCACTCATAGAAACACGCCTTTTCATCACTTCAGATTTAAAGTGGCAGATATAGTGAACCTTGTAGTCAGGAACTGTTTTCACATTATGTTCCACTCTATAGAGGCCTTCGCTGTCTTGTTCCAGGGTCTTGATTTCAGAATCTTTCAGGTCATTACCAAATTTGTCTTCCCAAAAAACAATGGGTTCTGGATACCACCCTTGAGAGCTGCAAGTAAGCTTCAAACCATCACTTTTATCGGGGTTCAGTGTGATCACAAGATCTTTGGTTGGGATGGCTGTAAAGCAAAATAAGAAACTATAATCAGAACTCTTTACCATGAGATGTATTTGTACAGTGAGTGCTCCCTATGGCTAAGAATGTTTTTAGAAATCCAATTGAGTAAGCAAAACACAACACGTTGTTAGAAACGTTGTAATAAAACTACAATGAATAATAATAATCCTTCCATTTGATATAGGGCCTTGTCATTGTCTTTGAGACGTCTCAAAGTGCTTCACAGAATATACTGTAAAGTGAATTGACTATATTTTGTGGGCGAAATGCGGCAGCCAATTGCACACAGCAGTGTCCCACAAACAGTCGTGGATTGAGTGACCAACTTAGTATTTTTTTTTTGGAAGGAGTTATTCCCCCCCAGAAAAGCGATCCGCCAATCGACTAACAACAGGGATCTTACTTACTGCTAGGTAAACAGAAGCGTGTGGAGTAATGAAACTTGCTGAATGTTTCGCCCTCCTGGGAATAAAACCCACATTTCTCATTTGCAAGGCAAGTGCTCTAACCACTGAAGTACAGAACACCACACTCTATAAAATAGATTAATCTAACAATGTATACTTTACAATGTAATTAAACTAACTGTATCAAAAGGAGAAAGATGAAGTCTTTACTCTGTGCAAGATCCTTATAACACTTATTACATCATGATATTAATACCTGGCTCTGGATAAAGAATTTCATTCTGGTTCATGGAGTTATTATTTTTCTGCTTTTCTTGTTTTGAACATTTTCAATTTATATTTAGATTATTATAAATCTCTTGGTATTTTTCTGTTGACAGGGGGATGTTAGGAAATATCTAGATAGATTTTATTCTTTTATTTACTATTTAGGACTTCAGGGTAACACTTGGAACGTTTGATAACTTGGTAACTATGATGCGGAACATGTTATTGAACGCCACAAATTTTGTTGGTTAAGATCAGAAGACCTGACAACAACAACTTGTATTTATATGGCACCAGTCACACAGGGTAGCGTCCCATCATCGCAGCTTGCCTGAGGTCACCCGAGGTCAGTGGCCACCATCTATCATTAGGGCAGATAAACATTCAAATAAAAAAAACTGACTTTATTCAGTCGGTTTTCTGATCTGCGCATTTGAAATGCTGCTCTTAGGAGATTTCCTTGGATAATGATGGTGATAATAATAATCCTTGCACTGGTATAGAGCCTTTAACATCAGGAGCACATCTCAAAGAGCTTCACAGGTTATATTGTAAAGTGGAGTGATGGTGTGTGTTTTATGGGCAAACGTGGTAAAACCTAACCGATGTTCTGTTTAATGATTCCCGTTTTAACGTCAGTGATTGATGTCGGTGTTATACGTTGGCTTCTCTGCCACATTTTCAAGAGGCAATAAACGGAATGGCAGCATTGAAACTGATTTAAAAAACAATGTGGGTGACATTCACATCATTGAAAGACTGTGCTGCACCTCCAAATAGATTCTTATTCTATGTGAGAAGCCTCTGGCTGTAACTGGTCAACTTTGTTGTGCTATGAAAGTTATATGACATTAAAACTACTGTCTTCTAATACCACAGAAAATGTATGCAGCAATTTGCAAAATGAAGATCAGCAACAGTTATCCCTCAATTCAGATAAAAAGCAGGATAATTTTCATACCCCAAACAAGCAGTGTCACACTCGTGTCTCCGAGACCTTTGTCAGTGCTAATGCTGAGCTTGTAGATTCCATCATCCCAAACACGAACTTTCTTCAGTGTAAGAGTGATACCTTCTTTGTTGATTGAAATTTCAGTTCTCTCGGTGTAGTTGGCATGTTGATCATTGATTTGGTCTTTACCATGCTTGATCTTGTGTACTATTAAATCATCACTTCTTTGCCAGATCACGAAATGATCACCTCCAATATCTCCGCCAAATTCACACGTGATCAAAACATCTTTGCCAACCTCGGCTTTGATTTCTTGTTCACAGTGAAGGTTGAATCCATCTAAATAAGAGAAACACAATAGGACGCCTTATAAGTATTTTTTCAGTATTTTGCTCAATATTTATCAGCCATTTTACACAATTACTGCATTTCACAGGTATGAAAAGAAAAAAAATATTTTAAAAAATTGGAATTTTTTGCTGTGACCTATTCCAAAGATCAATTTTGGATGGAGCTTAAGTGGTGTGGTTTTACATTTGGAAGTGGATTGTTGCTCTCTTATTTAATGGAGCTGTGCTGAAAAAGGCTAAAACAGTTGTTAGAAAATTCTTGGGCTCTATTAGTCACATAAATTTTATATATCATGCAGTATTCCCCCAGCCTAGGACAAAGATAGACATGTAAATTTCTGAATATTAATTTAACTTTGGAGATGTGACACCACATTTCCCATTACTTGACAATCTATTGTTCTTCATATTGATAACTGCTTTTCATCTTAAATCTGCTCATTTATTAAAGGAATAAAAGCACAACTTCTATCCTGTGAAAGAAAACAAATCCTTACCAGCAATCAGAATAATCAGTGAAAGTACAACACAGCTGAGGAAAGCCATCCTGAAAAATAAAATTGTACATTTACATTTCAAACTCTTTATATTATTCTATTAATAGTTAACAAGATGTTCCTGTTAAGTTACAATATTTTCCTCCTCCTCTTTCACAAAGCTGTTTAGGAGGGGGGAAAGGGTTCCCAACTGAGCCTGATCCTGTTCTCATCTGACAGCCACACACTTTGCAACTCTTGTTGATATCAATGAACAGTGATGAAGAGCAAAATCCCAGGCATATTTTCAGATTCTTAGCAATAGTAATCCTTGCATTTGATATAGCGTCTGATTCATGTTGTTTGATATGTCTCAAACTGCTTCACCGAACATACTGGATTGAGTGACTAANTTTTTTTCAAGGTATTTGGGTGTGTGGAGTCAGCAACTTGCCTCAGGTTTCGCCCTGCTGGGGAATCGAACCCGGTCTTCACTTTCTGTGGTTTAATAATTTGTTTTTTAGTGTGTTCTGGTCGCTGACTTTGTATGAAAGGGGACGTAGGTTTTAAGACTGTTACTGTAATAATAATAATAATCCTTGCATTTGATAAAGTGCCCTATCATGTCTTCGAGACATTTCAAAGCGCTTCAAGGAATATACTGTGAAGTGAATTGACTTTTTTTTTGTGGGCGAAATGCCAATTGCGCACAGCAGTGTCCTACAAACAGTTGTGGATTGAGTGACCAAATTATTATTTTTTTGAAAGGATTACTACCCCCAGAAAACGACCCGCCAATCGACTAACAACCCGGGTTCCTACTCACTGCTTGTTAACAGAATAACAACAACAACAAGATTCCATTTATAGAGCGCCTTTCACGTCGGGAGGACGTCCCAAGGCGCTGTACAGTTGGGTCAGGACCCGAGCAGGGGGGGAAATGGTCAGGGGAGGGGAGGGAAGGGAGGGAGCGAGGAGGGGGTAGAGAGTCGAGAGGGGAGCTGAAGGCGCGGTCAAAGAGAAAGGTCTTGAGACCGGCCTTGAAGGAGGAAAGGGAGGAGGCGGCGAAGGCACTGGGGGATAGAGTTCCAGAGCCTCGGGGCTGAGAGGCTGAAGGCCCGGCCACCGATGGTAGGGCGGTTGGGGCGGGGGATGTGGAGCAGACCGGAGCCAGAGGAACGGAAGGTACGGACAGGTACGTAGGGAAGAGTGTAGAGGCAGGAAACTTGCCTAACGTTTCGCCCTGCCTGGGAATCAAACCCAAGTCCTCTCGCTTGTGAGGTGAATGCTCTAACCAATATGCTACTTTTTTTTAAAGGCCTCCATGACGTGATAAGGCATGATTTCAAACACAAGCTCTACTATTATTATTATTATTATTGTAAACTTTTCAACACTTTAGAAATCACAGAATGAGGAATAAAAGCAGTTAATGCTGAACGTTTTCTCGTGTCAGGTTTTTTGCCATAAATAGAACTCTGTCTGATCTGCCAATGCAAAAGCCTGTTCTACATTGGTCACAAGTATCCAGGAGAGACAAGTTGTGGCAGGTTTAGAAATATCACCCCGAAAGTCCTTCCATTACAAGGCAATCTTTTACAGTGATGAAAAACCTATCCTTAATAGCTAGTAACTATGGCTCAGATTTATAATAATAATTCTTCCAGTTGATATAGCACCTGATCACGTTATTGAGATGTATCAAAGCACTTCACAGAATATACTGTGAAGTGAATCGATTGTATATTTTGTGGGTGAAACGCAGCAGCCAAGTATCCCACAAACAGTCTTGGATTGAGTGACCAAGTTATAATTTTTTAAAGGATTATTATCCCTGAAAAATGAACTGCCAATCGAATAACATCCGCGTTCCTACTTACTATAAGTAAACAGAGATATGTGGAGCAAGCAAATTTGCCTAAGATTTCGTCCTGCTCGGGAGTCAAACCCGGATCCTCTCGCTAGTGGGGCCTGTGCTCTAACCAAAACGCTATAGGACTCCATCAATATAGGTTCGTAAACTAATATAACTTCCAGTTAGACTAGTGCTAAAGTTAGCACCAACACCACTAAAATAACCTGCACCCTTTGATACTACACATTATCCATTAATATAAAAATATTTGCACATTCTGGCATCTGTACACAGAGTACACTTTCACATTTCAACACGTCAAGTACACAGACTTGAATATACAGCACTCAGCACCGTATACCCACTCAGCTTCTCCGTACATTATAGATCAATCGTTTGATTTTGGTATCAAGTAACAATAATAGCCCTTCCATTTGATACAGCTCCTTGTCACGTCTTCGAGATGACTTAAAGCCAATTGCGCACAGTAGCCTCCCACAAACAGTCATGGATCGAGTGACTAAATTATTATTCTTTTGAAGGGATCATTACCCCTGGAAAAGCGATCCGCCAATCAACTAACAACCGGGTTCCTACTTACTGCTAGGTAAACAGAGGCGTGCGGATTAAAGAAACTTGCCTAAAATTTCATCAGGTTTCCAACGCGATTGTCCTCTTGCGAGGTGAGTTCTCTAACCACTGAGCTACAGGACAAAGTAATGCCAAACCCTGAGTTACTTCCTTGTTTACTGAGCCTATTGCACATCTCCTTCTGACCTCATCACTGGTATCCCGGCAGATCAAAATTTTTAAGGTTACAAATGAGTATCATACACATGTCTCAATGCATTTGTTATAAATTATACAGTGTAACTTTCAAATATTGTAAATAATTCAATGGTAACAATATCCATAAGGGCATAGTCCTGTGATATTAACCAATATATATATAAAACAAAGATTAAGTGTATAAAAAGGGTCAAAGCACCAAAGCAAACTGTGTTCCTATCATTCAGATTCTAAGTGTTGGAATGATCAAACACACATGTCTGTTAAATGCAGGGATACAAGTAAAGATTTGTAGATGTAAAATGCAAAACACAATACGATACACACACAGACACACACACAGACTGATGGACCAAGCTTGTGACTGAGAGCTGCCTTTTGAGGACATTGACCTATATGTGCCCTATTGCGCCATTCTGCTGATCTCTCCACCCCACCCCCACCTCAGTTGTGGTCAGCGTTGTCTCCCTGAACCTTGTCTCTCCCTGAAAACAGCCCAAACACAGGCGAGAGTGCAGTTGACTGCTTGACTGTTGCCTTCTCGAAGAGGTTTTCTGGCTGTTCTTTCTCTGAATAGTCGAGCGGCCAAGGCAGACACCTAGACTAGAGCACAACATAAGGCAAGTGATCATTTAACACAATCTGGAGTCCTGTAGCTCAGTGGTTAGAGCACTCGCTTTGTAAGTGAGAGACCTGAGTTCAATTCCAGGCAGAGGGCGAAACCTTGGGCAAGTTTCCTTACCCCACACAGAGCCTAATAATAATCCCTCCAAAAACCAAAAACAATAATAAATTGGTCATTTTCAATCTACGACTGTTTGTGGGACATTGCTGTGCGCAATTGGCTGCCACATTCGCCCACAAATACACAGTCAATTCACTTTACAGTGTGTTCTGTGAAGCGCTTTGGGACGTCCTCCCGACGTGAAAAGTGCTATATCAAATGTAAGGATTATTATTATTATTATTTTTATCTGTCCCTGGCAACTCACAGGATAGTGTCAATAAGCCATTACTCAAGACACAAGCAGTAGATTTAATATTAAATGAAATTGGTCCATTCTCATTTACAAGAACTGAGGGAGAAATAAACATACCTACTTTTCTCGCTGCAGTTTCGAGTTAACTTCCAACCTGTTTTCACATAAGAAGGAATAGAGAAACGAAACTGAAAGCAAAATACAATTCATGAAACAGAGTGAAACTGAGTATTGCACTGGAGGCAGATTTTACGAAGAGTCCGATCAGCTATTTTTAAAAAAATAATTAACGTTAACTTTTGTTTTTTTTAAAAAAACGTTAATTAGGGTGAATTTAGCTGTACATCCAATATTTATCACATGAATTATACTTGTTTTCCACCACAACCCGACTCCTCCGTCCCCCCCGCCACCCCACGCAGGTCATCTCCTCCAACCTTCACTGCGAGGAGATGCTGGATTTCCTTGAATCCAAGATCAAGGGAATTCGCTCCGCGGTCACTTCCCCTCCAACATCCACCAACCCCCCACCCCCTCACTCCCACACTCCGACTGCTACCCATCCTCCCCTACTCACTTTTGTACCCGTTTCCCCACCCTCTGTCACAAACTCATCCTATCCCTAAAACCAACCACCTGCTCCCTTGACCCCATCCCCACTCCACTCCTTATCTCCCAGCTCCACTTTCTTGCCCCACATATCACCGACATCATCAACCTGTCCCTCTCCTCTGGCTCTGTCCCATTCCCTTAAAAACTGCCACCATCACGCCCACCCTGAAAAAACCCTCCCTTGATGCGTCGCAGCTATCAAGCTACCGGCCCATCTCCAACCTCCCCTTTCTCTCCAAGGTCCTGGAAAGAGTTGTCGCCTCCCAACTGCGCTCTTTCCTTTCCACCCATTCTCTTTTCGAACCCCTTCAGTCAGGTTTCCGTGCTGCCCATAGCACAGAAACTGCCCTGGTCAAGGTCACCAATGATATCCTGACCATCTGTGACCAGGGCTCCCTCTGCCTCCTCGTCCTCCTCGACCTATCGGCAGCATTCGATACGGTCGACCACGCTATCCTACTCCACCGCTTGTCCTCCCACCTCAACCTTCAAGGCACTGTCCTTGAGTGGTTTAGGTCGTACCTTTCTCACCGTCTTCACTTTGTCTCGACGAATGGCTTCTCCTCCACCCCCCGTACTGTCTCATGTGGTGTCCCTCAGGGCTCTGTCCTCGGTCCCCTCCTCTTCACCCTCTATATGCTCCCCCTTGGTGACATCATCCGCAGACATGGGGTTAACTTCCACATGTATGCGGATGACACCCAACTCTACCTTTCCTCCTCTACTCTCAACTCCACGACCACCGATGTCCTGACAGCCTGCCTGTCCGACATCGAGTCCTGGACGAGAGACAACTTTCTTCAGCTCAACGTGCGAAAAACCGAGGCCCTCCTGATTGGCTCACGTCAGCGCCTCCGCACCTCAGGCGCCGACACCATCAGCATCCAAGGCTGCACTCTCCACCTCTCAAAGCCAGTCAGGAACCTCGGCGTTTTGTTCGACCCTGAGCTGTCCTTTCTCCCTCACATCCGCACCACAACTGGCACCGCCTTCCATCACCTCCGGAACATCGCCAGACTACGGCACTACCTCACCCCTCACGCTGCTGAAACCCTGGTTCACGCCTTTGTCACCTCAAGGCTGGACTATGGGAACTCTCTCCTCGCCGGCCTTCCCGCCACCTCCCTCCACAAGCTGCAGGTCATTCAGAACTCTGCAGCTCGTGTACTGTCCCGCACCAGGCTTCGGGACCACATCACTCCCACCCTCGCTCGCCTCCACTGGCTCCCCATCCCCCAGAGGATTGATTTCAAGATCCTCATCCTCACCTACAAGGCCATTCACGGCCTTGCTCCCTCCTACCTCTCCAACCTACTATCCCCCAACCTACCTGCCCGTACCCTCCGTTCCTCCGGCCTGCTCCACGTCCCCCGCCCCAATCGCCCTACCATCGGTGGTCGGGCCTTCAGCCTCTCAGCCCCGAGGCTCTGGAACTCTATCCCCCAGTGCCTTCGCCGCTTCCTCCCTTTCCTCCTTCAAGGCCGGTCTCAAAACCTTTCTCTTTGACCGTGCCTTCAGCTCCCCTCTCGACTCTCTTCCCCCTTCTCGCTCCTCCTTTCCCTCCTCTCACCCTGACCATTTCCCCCCTCCTCTCTCCCTCCCTTCCCTCCCCTCACCCTGACCATTTCCCCCCTGCTCGGGTCATGACCCAACTGTGCAGCGCCTTGGGACGTCCTCCTGACGTGAAAGGTGCTTTATAAATGGAATCTTGTTGTTGTTGTAAGTGTGGGAGGTGACCCAGGGCACTGATGATAATAATAATAATAATCCTTGTATTTAATATAGTGCCTTATCATATCTTCGAGACGTCTCAAAGCGATTCTGAGAATATACTGTGCATTGAATTGACTGTATGTTTTGTGGGCAAAACGTGGCAGCCAATTGCGCACAGCAGTGTCCCACAAACAGTGTTGGATCGAGTGACCAAATTATTATTACATTTTTTGAAGGAATGATTACCCCCGGAGAAGCGATCCGCCGATCGACTAACAACCGGGTTCCTGCTTTCTGCTAGATAAACAGAGGCATGTGGAGTAAGGAAATTTGCCCAGCGTTTCGCCCTGCCAGGAATCGCACCCAGGTCCTGTCACTTGCGAGGGGAATGCTCTAACCACTGAGCTACAGACCTCCGCATGGCTCTAGCCTTGCTCAGTAGTTCTAGTTGGAAAGCTTGCCAGACAGCTGATTAGACTCCAGCAGTACCCCAATGCACATGTTGGGGTCCCCAAGCCTTGGCTCTTGCCAACCTGCACCTAATACTTTCCGGAATTAGATAAGCAGGATGCATTCCTTTCCATTGCATAATAATAAACCTCGTATCTGATATAACACCTTATCACATTGTTGAAATGTCTCAAAAGATTTTACTGGATAGTGACTGCATAGGCGCCACCCCAATGGTTGAATACCATCTTGATGCTCAATGCCTCGGGTCACATATAACAACTGGCAGGTTAGGTAACAGAGGTCAGACAATCTCTGGGAACACTCAGCAGGTCAGGCAGCATCTTTGGAGAAAGGAAAGTGAGTCAACTTTGAGCTGCTGAGTGTTCCCAGCGACTTCTGTTTTTGTTTCAGATTTCCAGCAACTGCAGTATTTTGCATTTTGTCAGACAATCTCTGTAGGACTGTAAAGCAGCAGTGGTCACCGCAACTGTGCAATGAGACATTCTGTCCTAATCACTAATCATTAACACCGATTAATCCACTGTTAAAATGTATTAGTATTGATGATGTTTTAATGGGTCGTAGGAGAAGAAACGGGTTAATCAAACATGAGGAATTCATCTATTAATCTGAATTAGTGGGGAGCAGGCCAAGAAGAAGAATATTTTTTGATTGTACCAATTATCACTGATCTGATGTTAAATATCCTGAAATGCAGTGGTCAGCTGTGTCACGGTGGGTAGTCATGAAATCTTGCTGAGTGAGATATGAAAGAAGGGCTGGACAAGTGCAGTCAGTGCTCCAGTCATTCAATAAAACTCAACTCTATTGAGCAGATCGCTGCTCTGTGACATTTCTGCACAGTTATCTCTAAAAGGTAGCCTCACATTTAATACATAAATGGCTGACTGGCGAGAAGTGCTTCTTATTTTATGCAGCTCAGGTAAGTCTGCGTAAGTTTAGACGTTATCTCTATTTTTATTTGATCAAGCAGATGTCTAACACATGTGGAAACCCATTACCATGCTTAAGGATAGCCAAACCAAACTGAGAATTCCATGCCATCCCACTTATACATAGAAATTCCAGATGCCATCTATAAAGTACCTTTTTGTATAGTCGTTTATCCGGTTCATTTTATTGTCCATTTCTATGATTTCATTTGCATTCTTTTTTTAAATGATTGATACAATTATTAGTTATCTAATAAGGCGTCCGTTTAGAAATATGTTTCCTCTGGATTTCAAACCTACAGATCTGATAATCTTAAGACCCGTTCTACCTTTGGATACATCACTATAGAGTTTTCTGCCACGTTGTTTTTCTTATCTGCATTTGATGACATTCGATCCAATAAATCAGCTTTTTTTGCTGTTAAACATGGTTCCACAATCTAGAGTATTTCAGCCCTTTATGGATCAATTCATTTTGACTAACGTCTGTGATGTTATGAGCATTTATGGATTGTTGTTTTGGACATTTTTGGAAGGTTGCGCTAAGAACTTTTATCGAGCATGAAATGAAAATTCAACTTACTGTAACACACTTCGACCAATCGATGCATAACAGACACAAATGCAATAGCTAATTTTATATAAGTTTGCAAAGTAAAAATCATCAATTGCTGATTTCTTTGAGAATCCTTCAATGCTCGTTTAAAGACGTATCGTGCGATGGCAACTCTCTCACCACATGGAGATATTAGATTATAGCAGTAATTTTAATAACTGGAATAGGTTTAGGGCTTAACCATAATACTATGCAATATAGTATGTAACCGCAAATGTAACGGCTACACCAAGTCTCTCATTTACAGCTGTGATTACCAGTCTTCAAGTCCACCAGTCTCCGTCCTCTGTCACTGAAACCTGGAGACACAGCTCGGTTCAACTGCTCTGCGCATACCAGGGGAGAGATCAAATACTTCATTTATTACTGGTATCGAAGAGACCGAAGCCGCAATCCGACACAAGGCATGAAAGCAATTCAGTCTAACCATCGTACAGCCGTGTCTAAAGGCTTAAACTTGCCTTTCAGCCTGCTTGTGATCGATGTCATTGCTGCGATTGACATCGGCGAGTATTATAACTACCGCCAATAACTACTGATTGTAGTGGAGGACCCTCTGCTCAGAAGAGAATTCACAGGGAATGAAACCAGTTTGACATTCCGAGGCACAGTATCTTGTCTATCTGTTTAAATGAAACCTAATATCTTCCAGCTATGATCCCTGGTCTGTGCAGAGTTTGCTGGAGCCGCATTAGGAATAAGAGGGTATTTTACTATTTAGTGAGGGAGGAAATTAGCCTCGGGCTGGGATCTTTATCCAGGGAGGGAGGGAGTGGCGGGGGGGGCACATGTTCAAAGACACAAAGTGGCATCAAATGTGAGCCTCCTTTACGCCCAGGTCCAGCCGTGTGGCACATTGCCTCGGCAATGCCAACAACAGTTACCGATGCTGGTGGGGTATGGCAAAGGCACACATATATCAGTCACAGATTCAGTGCTGTTACTGTGGTTCACTCGTTCCTCTCAAGTGGCGCTGCATGTGCTGGAGCGGGAGTGTTGGTTCGGTTGATGTTGAGATTTCTGGGGTCTCTTTCGTGCGCCATTTTTTTAACGCAATTTTTTTTTTTAACAAGTGTTGGAACCAACCACTCACTGCCTTTGCAATCTGGCTTTCGATGCAAGTAGGTGTGTGGAAATTAGGGATTGAAATGGGCCAGTGTCACTGCTTGATAAGTGCAGGTAGTTATAAACACTGTCCTTTTTGCGTCCAATGTTAATTATGTATCTTAAGATAATTATTTATCTTACAGTCAAACCCCAAGTCCAGCTCTCAGCTGAACCAGAGAGTGGGACCTCTGGAATTCAGACTCTGACCTGTGTGGCTGCGGGATTTCTCCCAAGAGATCTGAATGTTTCCTGGATGGTAACGGGAGATGTACCGCATGAGACAGAGTCCGCATCTCTCACAGTGAACAGCGACGGGACCTTCACCCTGAGCTCACGGCTGAGCCTCCAAACCCCTGACTGGCACCTGGGCTCTGCTGTCACCTGTCAGGTTCAGCACATCACCCTCATCCCACCGGGTACAGAGAGGATCAGCTTCACCCCGAGTAAGTCATTTTGTAATAAAGAAGCGGCTAAATTCTACGACTTGTTGCCTCTGATTATCCAACACAAATCAAACAGATTTTTCTTAAACAATAACTGCAATATTAGTATTACTAATTATTCGTGTTAAATAATAATAATCCTTGCATTTGATTCAGCGCCTCATCACGTCATTGAGATGTCTCAAAGCGCTTCACAGAATATATTGTAAAATGAATTGGCTATATTTGGTGAGCAAAAGGTGGCAGGCAATTGCGCTAGGTCAGCGGATCTATAACAATATAATACAATTTACATTCTAAATTGTACATCGACGGATCTATAAAATGCAAAGTGGGATATTCGGATTGAAAAAGGTGCGAATTGTAGCAAACGTGTAAAATAATAAATATGCAGTCTCTGATTCCAAGCATAACATCAAACGCGCTCAGCATCTATAGTAATAAATAATCTTTGCATTTTATATAGCTGCTTTTATGTCAGATAAAATAATGTATTTTCTTTCATATTTTGTAAAACATAAAATATATTTTCTTTTATATTTATGGGATATACTGTCAAGTGTATTGACTATTGTTTAGGCTCCTCTGTAACATTTGGGCAATACAAGAAATATTATATTGCAGATACTTTATATAAAACGTTATATAGAAATATGACCCTTTCTTAGCCTATCAGACCTTTCTGCCATCAAATTGAAGCTATGGCAGAATGGTGAAAAATAAAAACAGTTAAGTCATTATTTGGAAATTGTTTTTCCACAATACTTGAAAACAAATGGCTTCCAAATTATAACTGACCACCACCCCCACCCCCAGCACACACCATTGTACAATTAAACATTTTAAGACAAACAGACTGAGAATAAATAGGTGGGTGGAATTTCGAGAGCCAAAGCCCTAACAGGGGGAAGGAAGGTGGTCCTGAGTTGTGTGAAGCGCTTGTGGGAGACAGACAGCCTCCCGAAGTTGAAAGGGCGTTGTATGATGAGAGCATGTTGTTGTTGTCCTTCACTCAATAGCAAACGGATGCCTTTGCAATCTTTCTTCTTCGCTGCCTGGCTGTGGTTTCTCTGTGGCTTGTGCTGTTGCTGGGGGAGATCAAACACGCCATCGAGCAAAGGAAAGGTACGTTGCATCCTGCAGCTCAGTGGTTAGAGCGCTTGCTTTGCAAGTGAGACACCCGAGTTCAATTCCAGGCAGAGGGCGAAACCTTGGGCAAGTTTCCTTACTCCACACAGAGCCTAATAATAATCGCTCCAAAACAAAACAATAATAAATTGGTCATTTTCAATCCATGACTGTTTGTGGGACATTGCTGTGCGCAATTGGCTGCCGCGTTTGCCCACAAATATACCTGCAATTCACTTTACAGTCTATTCTGTGAAGTGCATTGGGACGACTAGAAGACGTGAAAAGCGCTATATCAAATGCAAGGATTATTATTATTATTATTGTTACTGACACCTCCTGTTTACCCCTTCTCTCCTGCAAAATAAAAAGACTGAGCGAGAGAGAGAGAAAAAAATACACCCAAATCCCCTGCAAATCAAAACACACCACAGGCGACAGACAACGTCTCCTCCTCCGCCCCCCGAACGAGCAAACGCGACCCAGATCCTCTGTGGTTTGGAAGTCAGCGTCGCTGAGGTTTCCAGCGAGAAAGAAAGTGGAAACATCAGTCAGTGTCGAAAGTAACCCTCTGAGAATCAGCACTCAATTTCTTCGCGGTTGGCACTTGAGTGGGGGTGGGGGGGTTGGGGTGGAGGTGGCAGAGACCTTATGGAGGGCAGGGGCAGGAGGTGTTAGTAGTCAACCCCCAGAGTTCGTTCCAGGGTCCCATCGGCGCAGAGAGAGACCTGGGGTTCTCTGAGCTGGACAAACATCTATCCCTGCCAAGGAATGGGGGAAAAAAAGCCAGACGATCAAATAAATACCTTCGTTGCATTGGTTTTTTTTTGTTGTTGTGAGGTGTGAGGTGAAGATTATAAGGAGTAAAACTTGTTAGCTTTCTCTTCCTAACCTGGAGATCCTGAAGCCAATAACAGCGCCTCCTAGTGGTGCTCAACTAAAATAAGTAGAGACCGGGTAGGGATTGAATCTTGAATATTTGTGTCTCTGTGGCTCAGCTAATGTCAGCTAACAGTAATCCTCACATAAGTCGTATCATTTGCAACAATACATTTAATATGACTTATGCAAAGTATGAGTTATGTGAAACCTGCATAACCTATACCAACTACAACAGCACATGTATAAGAAATACACCTAAGTATGACTTAGGTGATCAACCTCCCCGGGCGCTCCCTCAGAACCCATACCTATCTGACCTGCTTGCCCCCCACTCCACCACCCGCTGCCTCCCCCCAGTTGGCTCCAGCCTCCTGTTTGTCCCTCATGTTCTCTGGGCCCTCTACTCTACTTTCACCCTCAATCCCTCCACCTCGCTCCCTCCATACCCACCTTCAAACCCCACCTAAAGACCTTCCCTTTTGATCGTGCTTACGACCACCTCCCCCCCACCCCTTCCCCTGGCTCGGAGTCAGACTCTGCCACTGTCAAGTGCTCCGGTATGCGACCCTGCGTGAGGGACACCATATAAATGCAAGTTGTTGTTTATATGATTTAGACAGATCAGACTTATGAGTGTTACTGTACCGTATTCACTAGTAGAACCCCTCGGTTGATTTTGCTGAGATGCGTCTCTCCACTAGTGATCTCTACAACTGATATTTTATGGACAATAAAAGAAACAAGCACCGTTTTCCTAACAAGGGGTTAATGTGGCATCAAAAAGACTGTACAATATAATAGACTGTAACAAGCCATCTGGTGAAACATTCAATCTTAATTCTATGATTCTATAAATTTGCAGTGCTATAGGGTAAGAGCGAGGGAGTGTGACCGGTTGGTAGCTCTTCAGCCACGGTGGGGATGAATAGCTTCCTTCTGTGCTGTAAAATTCTATGATTCTTAGTATTATGAGGAATAATGTAATATTCTATTGTTGTAGACATTATTAAAAGATAATTCATTGTTTCAAACTGTAATTCTGTATTTTATTTTATTTCTAGATGTAAGCAATGATCCTCGGATTATTTCTATTAAAGCAACTATTGGGGAAGATATTACGTTGAACGGTAGCTTTACCATCGATGACAACCCAGAACACCTTACGATTACATGGAACAAAATGGGATCCAAAGGTTTTGTGTATCGTATCAGAAATAATAAACATCTACAAGAAGAGCAGGATCCAACCTATGCAAACAGAACTGAGGTTTCGCCAAGTATAAATAATGGTACACTGCAAGCATCCCTTAACCTGCAGAATGCATTTTTCCATGATGAAGGAATCTACATATGTAGCTTTTCCACTTTAGAACGTCAAGCGAAAGTTATAACTAATCTCTCTGTCAAAGTACATTTTGTAATTACTAGAGGATGAAGGAAGAAAAGTAATGTTGAATGCATCCCACTCTGTGCTTTTTATAATAATAATCCTTGCATTTGATATAGCGCTTTTCATGTCTTTTAGACATCTCAAAGTGCTTTACAGAACATACTGTAAAGTGAATTGACTGCATATCTTGTGGGCAAAATGCAGCAGCCAATTGCGCACAGCAGTGTCCCACAAAGAGTTGTGGATTGAAAATGACCAACTTATTATGTTATTTTATATGCCTCAATATTATGAATTGCGCACAATAGAATACAGCATAACATATATAACATCAGTACTTAGTTAACTTACCACATTTTATATTTCATAGAGGCTCTCATAATCAGGGATGAATCTGTAACTTGATTAACTTGATTTCGCCAGTTCATAATTTGTTAATAGGAGGCTTGCCTTACATTATATGTTTTCTCTCTAAATGTACATTTGTGCATTAAATTTAATTTGCCATTATTCTGCTCAATCCACCAATCTAATCTACGTGTCTCTTTTATAGATTCTGGGACCAATCTCGATTCATTGCTGAAACCCAGCAATGAAAATGGTAAGTCCATACTAATTTACCGCTCCTCAGGATGGTACCCAAATCCCATCCTTTTGTGGAAAAACTGTTCGAAAAAACGGTGAAGAATTCAAGTACCAACAATAACAACTTGCATTTATATAGCGCCCTTCATACGAGGTAGCATTCCAGAGCACTTCACAGTGGCGGAGTCTAGACAAGCCAAGGGGAAGAGGAAGGGGCGAGGTGAGCGTAAGAACTATCAAAAAGGAAGGCCTTTACAACAATAATAACATTTGAAGGTAGGGAGAGTACAAGGCAGGGGGATTGAGGGAGAGAGTTCCAGAATAGTGGGCACAGAGGGCACGAGGGACAAACAGGAGGCCGGAGGCAGCCGGTCAGGTAGGTAGGGAGGTGCGAGGGCATGAAGGGATTTGAAAACGAGTGAAAGGATCTTGAAATCGATCTCTTCGGTGATTGGGAGCCAGGCTAAGACTGGTGTGATGGGGGTATAGAGTTTCATGCGGGTGAGTATTCAGACGGCAGTTTTGCGAGTTTTGAATTAACTGGATTTTGTGTATGGTGGAGCTGGGGAGGCATTAGAATAGTCCAGCCGGGAAGTGATAAAGGCTTGGACGAGGGTTCCAGCTGCGTCGCTTGTGAGGTAAAGCCAGAGGCGGGCAATGTTGCAGTGGTGGAAAAAAGCGGTCCTGGTCAGGGAATGGATGTGTGGTAGAAAGGAAAGCTGGGGATTGAACCTGATACCTAAATTGCGCATGGGTTCGGAGAGTCTGAGGAACAGTCCAGGGAGGTTGAGGAGTTCAGAGGGGGAGGAGTTCAAAGGGGCATTATTATTTCAAAACTTACAATCAATCTTGATGACTACAATAATTATATCTACCTTGTAATAATAATAATCCTTGCATTTGATATAGCACCTATCACGTCTTCGAGATGTCTTAAAGGACTTTACAGAATATACTGTAAAGTGAATTTACTGTATATTTTGTGGGCGAAAAGTGGCAGCCAATTGCCCACAGCAGTGCCCCACAAACAGTCATGGATTGAGTGACCAAATTATTAATTTTTTTGAAAGTATTAGTACTCCGGGAAAAGCGATCCACCAACTGACTAGCAACCAGGTTCTGATTTACTGCAAGGTGAACAGAGGCGTGTGGAGTAAGGAAACTGAGATAGAGGATTCCACAGTCTATAAATTATTCACTTTCAGTGAGGCATCACAAACAAACAGATAGGATATTGTTGAAAGGACAAGTATCTGATAAAGTACCTGATTCTCAACATGGTTTATGGGTGTACTATATATTGAATGCGACGATGATCTGCAATGAGTTTAAGTTACTTTCTAATCCAGTGAAATCATACAATATATTGGGGTTCACTTGATAGCCATCTTAAAATGTAATTTATTCCACAAACAGGGCGGAGTACATACCTGCATTTATCACTCAAATACGATGATATCTGCATTCACTGTTCTGTTTATACTACAAGTGCAGTGTTCAGTACCAGTGGAAGAAAATAACTAACATCTCATCTTATTTTCTCAGTATGTGATTTTTAGTTTAATTTGGACTGCTATCGTTTTATTTTTCAATTTTAACAAAAGTCTTCTTTACTAGGATCTTTTTCTGCGGAACAACAGGGGACTTCTACTTTTGTTTGCAATTATATTTGTATCATCATTATCTGTGTTGGTGTAATGGGCGTCATCTTTGTCATTGGTCTGCTGTGCAAGTCAATGATCCTTCAACAATTGAGAAGATACAGAAGAGGGGAACCAAAATGATTGAGGGGATGAAGACCTGGACTATGAGGAGCGATTAAATAAACTGAGCATGTGCACACTGGAGAAGAGAAGTCTGAGGGGCCATGTGATTATGGTTTTTAAGATTCGGAAGGGAATAGATAATGTAAACCATGATAAGCTGCTTTATCTTGTACTGAACAGTAGAACCAGAGAACACGGCCTCCGATTGAAGATGGAGGTAAATTCAGAACAAATCTGCGGAAACACTACCTTTAATAAGCGAGAAGTAAACTTATGGAACAGGCTCCCTGGAGAGATGGTGGAAGCAGCAAGTGTCATTTGTTTCAAGAATAAATTAGATAGATTTCTGCTAGAAAATAATATCTTGGGATACAGTTCATACTTTGGGACACGACATATCAAGCGACTGCCAGGATGGTGAAAGACGAACTAGATGGACCTTGGTCTTCCTTCACCAAGTTAATTCTTATGTTCTTAACGTCTGTCATTGTGTTTGGTTTCTGCAAGATAAAAAACAATCTGCAAAATAAAAACAAATGAAACATATATGAAAATGTATTATAAAAGTACTCAATTGTTTCAAATAATTCTACAGAGTGCATTTTATTGAGGGAACAATTGAATTCTATGGTTATGATGTGTGGTGGAGATTATGTGTATGAATGACCCATGTAAAATCAAGGTCACAGATTCTGTGAAACGCAGTCAGGGATTACACTAGTGAGCTGCTAAGTGACTAAAGTAATAGACAGCAGTAAAAAAAATCCAAGCATAGTATTGCAATTTTTTTTGCCAGCTGGGTGTCTAACACATGTGGTAAGCCATCACCATGCTTAAGAGTATCCAAACCAAACTGAGAATTATAATAATAATCCTTGCATTTGAGATAGTGCCTTATCATGTCTTTGAGACGTCTCAAAGCGCAAAATATACTGTAAAGTGAACTGACCGTGTGTTTTGTAGGCAAAACACGGCAGCCAATTGCGCACAGCAGTGTCTCACAAACAGTTGGGGAATGAGTGACCACATTTTGTTGAGGAACTGTTATCCCCAGAAAGTGACCGGCCAATTGACTAACAACCAGATTCCTACTTACTACTAGGTGAACAGAGGTGTGCGAAGTAAGGAAACTTGCCCAACGTTTCGCCCTAACTGGGAATTGAATCACTTGCAAGGCGAGTGCTCTAACCACTAAGCTACAGGACTCCAATTCCATGCATTTCACCTACACATGGAAATTCCTGAGATAGATTGCTGGAATGGAATGCACCCTCACTTGATCAAGGGATGCATCCTGCTTACCTAATTCTGGACAGTGTTACAACAACAACAACTTGGATTTATATAGCGCCCTCCACGCCGGACGGCGTCTCAGAGCGCTTCACAGTAACGGATCCCGGCGCCGAGCCAGGGGGAGGGGGAGGAAGGTGACCCAAGGTGCGCTCGAAAAGAAAGGTCTTCGCCTGAGACCTGAAAATAGGAAGAGAGGGCACGAGGCAAAGGGAGCGAGGAAGGGAGTTCCAGAGCCTCAGGGTATAGTGGCTGAAAGCACGGCATACCTCAATTCCAAATTTAATAGAACTTCAGGACCAAGGTGAAGTAGCACAGTAGCAGAAAAAACAGAAAATAACGTAAAACTGATAGGAAACTGTAGAAATTTTTGACAAAATCTGCAGAAGAAAAAGAGCAAATTAGATATCAGATTTATCAATTCAGGTGCAACATTTTCCTCCTCATTACTCTCTCTCCCACAATCGCACTGACACCCATATGCGCACACTCTGCACCACCACCCCCCCCCTCACAGACACTCGCTACCCCACAAGCACACACGTCCCCCATTCCACCCCCCCCCACACACAAACACTTCCCACTCCCCACTCCCCACCCTCACACAGTCCCCACTCTCACACGCACACGGTCCCCACCTACACACACTCTCCTCCCCCTCCCCCCCACACACACACGCTCCCCACCCCACACACACATACACACTCTCCCCACCCCCTACACATACACATGCTCCCCATTTCCCCACCCTCACACTCGCTCTCCTCCCCACCCCTAGCCACTCCTCACCACACACACACATGCTCCCCCCACCCTACACACACACATACACACACATTACCCAGCACACAATCTCTCTTATACACATTCTCTCCAACAACTCCATTGCACAATCACAGGCATATTCCCTATCACAATGAAACACACACCAATCTGCCTCCTTCTCTTACACATATATGCATACAATCTTCATCAGACCTGCATGCACACAGCACATGCACTCCATTAATTAAACTATTAAATACAAATCTAAATAAGAAACGTAATGAAAGGGCTTACAGAGTGAAGTTTTGTCCCATTGTGGTTTGTTCATTGCTGTATGTAAACAGACTTAATAGTAAGTTATTCATATACAATATTTCAGCAGCAATATCATGACAATCAGATTAGTAAACCAATCCCATCTCTAAGTGTGTGATGTTAGCTTCATAAGCAGGTGAAATTTTATACTTCCAATAAATCTACAACATGAGAAGACAAACTGGTTTGTTCAGAGTTTTTCCTTTTCAAATACTGTTGTTGCTTAAATAAGCTAGACTCAGTTGGCAGCATTCTCAACTCTAGCTCAGAAGGATTCGAGTCTCACATCAGGACTTGAACTCAAAGGTAAGACTGATACTCCAGTATAAATATAAAGGCAAGTTATTGTTGAAGTAAGCGCTCTAATATTTAACTCACAAAGGCGGAAAATAGTCATAAATAAAATGTACAAGAAAAAGTCATTCTATATGATTGTAAACAGTTTTGTTCTGCAGGAATTAGGCGTTTTCCATCACAAAAGACACTAAAAGAAAAAATGGGTGATGAAAATGCTTGTTTTTAAAGATGAAAATACTTAATAATAATCCTTGCATTTGACACAGTACCTTCTCACGTCATCAAAATGTTTCAAAGCCCTTCAACTGGTTTACTGCAAATTGTCATGACCGCTTATTTGTCGGCAAACGTAACAACCAATTTGTGCACAACAATGTCTCGCAAACAGCCATGAAGTGAATGCCCAATTTTATCTGGGGGATCATTTCGGCCAATGTCATTGAAATACGCACTGATGCCTTCTTTACATTTAGACTTCAAAGCACTCCTTGCTCCTTGGTTCACCATTCAAAAGCTCAGCATTCAACCTTCTAAATTTAAAACCTACATAAATTTAAGTTGAGAAGCTCCCTTCTCTTTCCAAATAGTGCCATGGTTCTTTAATGTTCACCTGAACAGGCAGGTAGGACCTCAATTTAATACAACTCAACATCCTGTTTGCGTCATTCATTGCTGCCTCACACATTGTTTTGATGTGTTGAGCAATGGGTCAACTAACATTCCTAGAACTCTTTCAACTTCTGTCCCATCCACAAAGTACACCCGTGCTATCCAGCCCAGTGGATGATTTCATCCAGGCCACGAACACAGTTGCACTGTGTGTCCATAGCCCAGGCTTGGCCTAATCCAGCGGGAAAATTATGGCGCGAGGTGCTAGTTAGCAGTAGGACCTGTCAATCACTTTCAAACTGCTAACATGAGAGAGAGACACACAGTCAGAGAGAGACGGATAGAAACAAACACATTCAGACAAAAAGAGAGACACAGACAGAAGGAGATGCAGAGACACAGAGAGGGCACAAACAAAAAGACACAGAGAGATACTCACACATACACACACACACAGACAGACAGACAGAGTGAAGCACACATACAGAGAGAGAGATTCAGAGACATGCAAAGGGAGAGAGAAAGATACACACACATACACATGCACAGATACAGAGAGAGAAATACAGAGTCACTGAAAGATAGAGATACGGAGACACACAGACAGAGAAAGTTACACTCAGACAGAGAGACAGATCCACACACAGGCAGAGACAGTTACACTCAGACAGAGACAGATTATAATAATAATCTAATGGCGCACATTATTATCTGTCCCACAAACCGTTGTGGATTGAGTAACCAATTTTTTTAAAAAACATCTGGAAGGATCATTAACCCCGGGAAGCGATCCACCAATCGACGAACGACCAGGTTCCTACTTACTGCTAGGTAAACAGCGGCCCATATAAAATAATGCATATATATTTTACAATATAGATACAGAAACAAACAGAAGCAGACAGACAAATACAGCGGCACACTCAGACAGAGAGAGGGGGATACAGAGACACATGCAGACATGTCAGTGCATTTCACAGGCATAGAGTGTAGGGAAATACACATGCAGAGGCAGCAACATACGCACACACACACACACACACACACAGACAGATTCAGAGACGCACAGAAACAGATACCTCGTCACTGGCTGTAGTTTTGAAAAAAAATGGTATGAACATTTACATCGACCATTTAAAGTTTGCACTGTAACTAAAATATAGTGAAATTAAGTGATACAATTACACAATTTAAAACAGGATTTGTATACGATTCTTAATGATTGATTGTTTTTTGAAAGGGAAACACAAATATGGCCCGCGGGCGATTCTCAAATCCGGCATCCAGCCCTCAGCAGCCAAAAAGGTTGGATCATCCTGAAATAGACTCGATCCTAAATCGTGGGAAATGCAATGACACGAAAAGCCTGTTTCCGTGCTGTAATACGCTATGTAATACCGCAACTTGTTTGTTGGAAAGCTTTTTAAAATCTGGTTTTGTTTTGCAAAATGTACATCTGCATTCCAAAAACCTTACCTGTAACAAAAAGTCGAGTTCCACGGCTTTTGACCTCTGTAAGTGAAGGATGGTAGATAACACCGCAGTGATACACTCCCATGTCAGTAACTTCAAGGTCTTGGATCTTTAACAAGCTGTGGAAATCGGATCCATTGCTACTAAACACAGAGAATCGACCCCCTGGTGTTTCAGTAATATTAATTCATTTCTGTAGTACAGCATCTTCATCTTTAATAATGTACCAATAAAAACTGGGCTTTTCTATTATTTTGGAACCATCGAGTTGGAGATTGCAGTTAAGCTCAATCGTCAGGTGGCTGTGTGCATAAACCTCGGAGGGAAATTGCAGAAGCCTTAATCCAGCTGCACCACCTACTAGAAAAGAGTTCCATTCAGACACAGATCTTTGATCAAATTGTAAATCTTGCATACATTTCAAGTGTATTAACATACAGGACTATGGTTATTAATATATATTATTATAATAATAATCCTTGAAACATAATCGTTGTCAAAACATCTCACAATTTAATCTGGAGTACAGTGACTATTTATAGCAAACGTTTGAAATGTAATAATAATGTTGTTAAATGCTCCATATCTGTACTGGTGAAAAGTTGAATTCTGCACGATTTGTAACTGAGTGAAAACATTATCAACATAGAAATCATCATTAGGATTCCTCAACTGCACCAAACAACGCCCTAGATGTCCAACATTGGGGCCAAACTGGTGGTGAGAGTTCCTGTAGAATATTTTTACTTGCACCACTTCCTTCCTTTTAACCAATACAAAAAAAAAGTTGACTTCATCCGATTTTCTCTTTTTGTGCCTTCAGCAAAAAAATAATTGCTCATTTACTGCAGGACACAATTACTTAAAACTATATGGAATGAGATTTAATTCTCTGAATTACCCCTTTCATTCTCCCTTCTGTTTCCCACAACGCATTCACTTCCCTTTACCTCCTTTTCTCGATGTGCGACACCATCTTTGTTTAGTGCTTTGAGATGTTATCTTGTGTAAAGGGCACTCTTCAAATGCAAGTAGTTATTAATGTTGAAATAACGAAGAAAAACACAATTTCACAAACTTTCCACTGTGCTGTTCAATCTCATTTAATTTGACTGCTTATAGGGTTAACAATGTGAAACCTGATTCCCCATCAACTGAACAGAGAAGGTTAAAGCGTTGACCTGACAGAGGTCTTTATTATGAAGGCTTCATTGACCAGTGGGAATCTAATCAGTACCAAGCGACTACAAAATTACGATAAGCACAAAAAATATTAAACACAAAGTAGAAAAAAAATCAGCTTTACCTCCCAATACCAGTATCCTTAAGCAGTAAATACTCTGACATGTGGGATCGGAGTTTTGTTGTGAATCTCCCCTCAGATCCACTAAAATGCAACGTCTGCACAAGAGTTGAAGTCAAAGTTTCTTGAGGTGCAATCTTATTCGGGTAAGTATTCACTCCCAATACAACAATAATATTACATTTGTATAGCGCTTTTCACGTTGGGAGGATGTCCCAAGGTGCTGGAAAGACAGAGTTACGGACCCAAGCTGAGGGTCAGGGTGGAGGAAGGGGGAGGGCAGGGGGGGAAGCAGGAAGATCGTAAGCACGGTTGAAGAGGAGGGTTTTGAGGTGGGTCTTCAAGGTGGCGAGTGAGGGGGCGGAGGGAGCGAACAGGGTGGTAGGGGTTTAGGAGGTCGGCGAGGTAGGGGGGGAGCAAGACCATGGAGGGTTTTGAAGGTGAGGACCAGGATCTTGAACTGTACCCTCTGTGTGATGGGAAGCCAGTGGAGTTGGGCAAGGATGGGGTTGATAGGGTCGCGGAGCCTGGTGCGGGAGAGGACATGAGCTGCAGAGTTCTGGATGATCTGCAGCCTGTGGAGGGAGGAGTTGGGGAGGCCGACAAGCAGTGAGTTTGCACAGTCGAGCCTCGGTATAATGAAGGCGTATAAGGGTATCAGCGGCCTGCAGTGTGAGACAATGTCAGAGCCGGGCGACCCCACAGAGACCTTCAAGTTACAGTATTAATTCAACAGATTGTCTCAATTTATAATTCTGTGGAGTCCTGTAGCTCAGTGGTTAGAGCACTCGCTTTGCGAGCGAGAGACCTGAGTTCAATTCCAGGCAGAGGGCGAAACCTTGGGCAAGTTTCCTTACTCCACACAGAGCCTAATAATAATCCCTCCAAAAACCAAAAACAATGATAAAAATTGGTCATTTTCAATCTCCAACTGTTTGTGGGACATTGCTGTGCGCAATTGGCTGCTGCGTTCACCCACAAATATACAGTCAATTCACTTTACAGTGTGTTCTGTGAAGCGCTTTGGGACGTCCTCCCGACGTGAAAAGCGCTATTTCAAATGCAAGGATTATTATTACTACAAGGCACTAATATTAACAGTGATTCTTGTATCTGGGAAATTTTTGAAACAACAACTCGTTCCAGGACCTTGGAGAGGAAAGGGAGGTTGGAGATGCGGTGGTAGTTAGGGATAAGAGAAGGGCCCAGGGAGAGTTTTTTTTAAGGATAGGAGTGATGACTGCGGTTTTTAAATTGGTGGGAACAGTACCAGAGGACGGGGAGAGGTTAACAACATCAGTGAGTAGAGGGGCAAGGAGGTGGAGCTGGGAGGTAAGGAGAGGGTTAGGGATGGGGTCGAGGGAGCAGGTGGTGGTGATGAGAGCGGAGGAGATGGGTTCAAAGGTGTAGAGGGAGGGGTGGGTAGGGGCTGAGGTGGGGGAGGACATGGGGCCAGATTAGCAGATACAGTGGCAGAGGCAGCTGAACGGATTCCCTCGACTTTGGATGCGAGGAAGTCCAGCATTGCCTCGCAGTTGGCATTTGAGGTGAGGATGGGTGAGGTGTGAGAGGTTGGGCAGAGGAGTCAGTTTGTGATGGAGAAGAGGAGCCAGGGGTCGTCCTTAGCCTCCAAGATTGTCTTGGGAGTAGAATGACGATTTGGCGAAGGTGAGGGCAGAATGGTAGGATTTGACATGGTCCAGCCAAATCTGCCGGTGGACAGTTAGGTTTGATTTAAGCCAGGTGCACTCAGCGGAACTGCCTGGGCTTTAGGGGAGCAGAGCTGGCTGGTGTACCAAGGTGATTTGCATGAGTAGAAGACGGTTCGGGAAGAGAGGGGAGCGAGGGAATCGAGATTGGAGAAGGGTGACCAAGGAGGTTAGGTCATTGCGGGAGGACGTCCAGAGGGGAAGGCGTTCAGATGACTCCAAGACAGCCGAGGTGGGGGGGGGTGGGATTTTTTTATTCCAGGGGCAGTATGAGATGTAGGTGGGTTGGGTGGCGGAGGGGGGAGGGATTGAGGAGTTAAGGGAGATGAAGTGATGGTCCGAGATCACTTTGTCGATGATGGTGAGGTCCGAGACGGTGAGGCCCCGAGCGATCATCAGGTCGAGGGGGTGACCGGGGACGTGGGTGGCGGAGTGGATGCGGAGGGAGAGATTGAGGGAGGAGATAAGGGAGGAAAAGTCACAGAAGTAGAGCAGGATACAATCCTCCTGTTCTTTTTCTTCACCTCCCAGTACAAAGAGTCCCTTGGAACACGTTCTCAAAATAATCAGCATTGACCGACTCAAGAAATTTTCCGGCTTCTCCAATTCCAATGTCATATAATTAAAAGGAAGTTCACAACAGCATCAGCCTGTGTAAAGTTCCACTATCCACGCTGACTGAACAACCAGTTACTGCAAATTACAATTACCATTTTGCAGCAAGGCTGACTTTTCAGAAACAATGTGAGGCTTGCAGTTACTTCCCCCCACCACGCCACCCGCAGCTTTTTCAAATTGTTAGAGAGCCACAGTCGTGACCAGGCTACGGTATAAACTGCCATTTACGGGTCCAGCACATTCTGAATTTTCAGACAGCTTCCCGCAGCAGGACCAGTGTGGCCGTCCAGGGTGACCTTTGTGACCATGTCCGCAGCCTTGATACCCACCTGACAATAAAAAAATAAGAGAGAATTTCACAGTGTGCTAGAGATGAAGCATTGGAGTCCTGTAGCTCAGTGGTTAGAGCACTCGCTTTGCAAGCGAGAGACCCGAGTTCAATTCCAGGCAGAGGGCGAAACCTTGGGCAAGTTTCCTTCCTCCACATAGAGCCTAATAATAATCCCTCCAAAACAAAACAATAATAAATTGGTCATTTTCAATCTACGCCTGTTTGTGGGACACTGCTGTGCGCAATTGGCTGCCGAGTTCGCCCACAAATGTACAGTCAATTCACTTTACAGTATATTCTGTGAAGCGCTTTGAGACGTCTAGAAGACTTGAAAAGCGCTATATCAAATGCAAGGGTTATTATTATTATGCTCATCTACCTTTTTTGAATGTGGTTACGGTCACCTCCCCCCTCCCTCTCCCCCTGGCTCAGGGTCAGACTCCACGACTGTCAAGCGCTCCGGGACAGTACCTCGCTTGAAGGGAGCTCCATAAATGCAAGTTGTTGTTGAGTTTCTAACAAAATAAATCCTTCTGTTCTGCTCACCTAACATTGTGCCCCCACAGCCACAACGAACATCCTTTTGCCCACCGCTGGAACAGAATGTGCAGCAGTGAAAGGCCCCAGTGTGCTTACGGAATTTACTTTTTACTGTCAGGTTGAATGGAGATCCCTGGAAAACAACAGTGAGCTATTAACATTATTTTGGTTTAATTCAGCTGGGAGTCCAACACATGCAGAAAACCATCACCATGCTTCAGAGTATCCAAACCAAATTGAGAGTTCCATATATGTCACCCACACACGAGAATTCCCATGTCTGAAATGGAAGGAACACCATCCCCTCTTACCTAATTCCAGAGAGTATTGGGCCCAGGTTGGCAAGAGCCAAAGTTTGTGGATGCCAGAGTGTGCGCTGGAGCACTGCTAGGATTAAATCCGTTAAAGCAAAGCTTACCATTGAAAGTCATGTAAGGGAAGTATCCCACTGCTTGTCCAGCTAGGACTACCCTATCCATTAGGGTTTGGGCTTGCGGGTTTAACAAGAGCTGAGTAGGAACAATCCTCCGGGCTCCAGTGACCGATCTGCTCTGAAGAAGGCTTATTATAAGTCAGCTAGGTGGTCTGTCATCAGCCTTGCCCTGGAGTACTGCATACCCAGCTGATTCATGAACTGGACTACTGAGACCGCCACAAAGGACTGGCTTGGTTTTGACATCTGTCGTCAAGCACACCTACTTGAGTCAGCTCAGTTCCGAGAAGACAATGCCTCAAATAAAACAAATTAGTCATTGACTCCTTGGCTCTATTTCAACAAAATACACAATTTATAAACTTCCTCTTGATTTCTCAGTACTAAAGAACTGAGGGTGAAAGCACAAAACATAGTGGAGAAGTGAAAATAGCAGACAAACACTGATTGGGAGGGATAAATGTCTATGCTGGTTGTCTGCATCGTCAGCAATACTTTTCACGTGTCGATGATACTAATTCACTCTCGGCACATCCATGCAAAATGGTCAAAATACAAATTACATTTTAGGTTAAATACAGAGACAAGGCTTTTTAATCTTATCTCATCAGAAATGACCATGTACCCTTGATCGCATGTGGTTTAATAATTTATGCCGTGAAACTTCAAGCAACAAACTGGTTCACCCTTTTGAGCCCCTTTTTTTTTCACAAACCAAACACTTGTCTGCCAGACTCACCTCCACATGCTGCCCTTTTACATGGACCCACACCGTGTGTGGTCCTGGCTCCTGGGGAGTGTAAGTGATGCAGTAAGTCCCATCATGATTATCTTCCACCGTTGGCTTGACAACACTGTGGGAAATAATAAGCCTTTACAAATTGCAATAGCTCATGGCAGCAAAACCAAACTAACTAAGAACTGAACACATTTATATGAACCAAAAGTTTCTATAGTTCTACAGGATATTAGGCTAGATGAGTAACCAATGGTGAGAAGTCAGTAGGAACTGTGAATTTTGGATAGAATGTCAAAGATAAAAGTACAGTTTTAGCCTCAACAAAACCAGAGAAACAATGAAAATGCTCAATAAGTCAGTTTTATTCCCAATCAAAAAAACTGGTACTTTTAATACAACAGCGGCATTAAAGGGAATCAATTCTCTATGTTTACAAACACCCTCTAATAACAAGATGTAGGTTTACTTTTTCATATTGACTGTACTTGGCACCCCATTCAAAGTATTTGTTTGAATGGCAAAGATCAAAACACATGAACAAAACAGGCTGCATGGATTCAAAAGAACAGAGAATTCTCACAACCAAATATTTGCTAACTGGCTGTTCCATTCTTTGCAGCTTTGTGAAAAACTGAACTTCAAAAAAATAAAATTTCTGAGAGTGACTAAAAACTTGGGTTTGTAACAATGAGATCCTACAATAGTATACCGGTAATTTACATCACAAGTAAGGATGAGACGTTAAACCAAGATCCTGACTGGCTATTTGTGGGACATTGCTATGCTCAATTGTGCTTTTGCATTCGCTTACAAATACAGTCGCTTCATTTCACAGTAAATCCTGTGAGGCACTTTGAGACCTTTTGACATATGGCCCTACATCATATGTAAGGATTATTATTTATAATTAAGGGTCGTCTTTCCACTCCTGACTCTCTCAGGTCCCAATCTTCCCTTGCCACCCAGTTCGGGTACCCTGTCAGCGGGGTAAAATTATATATGAGCTTTGAGAGGTCCTCCTGAAGTGAAAGGGTTGTACGATAATAAATTTTTCATAGCTAATAATGCAGCTAGCAATTGTCAAGAGCAATCGTTCCATTAACTCTTACACAAGTAACCCACCGGTCTTTGCTGCTCTTGTTGAAGATGCTAACCCGAACAGATTCTCCTCCTCTGCCCATCTGCTGTCCTGATTGATCATTACAGACCAGTGTGAACGCAGTCAGCCTGTCTTGTCGGCCAACATGGAGGCCTGGATGTTAACAAATGAAAGTAGCATAATATTAAACTATATATAAGGCAAGGTGGTGTTTCGAGAAATACTCCACAAACACTGTAAAATAATAATAATTTAAAATTTATAATTATTATTTTATTTAATATAGCAACTATAATGTCAAAACATTTCACAAATATAACTGTAGTGCTGCGACTGTGCATTTGTAGACAAATCTGGCAGCTAATTTGGATACAATAATGTCCCACAAACAGCCAGGAGGTGAATGACCAATTTATATACTCCAATGCATCATTGCCTATCCTCTCCTCCAATTCCAAATATGAGATGATGGACATCTTCAAGTCCAAAAATGAGGGGATCCACTCTGCTGCCTCAGCCCTTTGAACCACCAACCCCTCCCTAGGTCCCCTCCGGTTCCCACCTATCCCTTCCTCCACCCTTTTGACCCAGTCACCCAATGTTCTCTCACCTCCATCAATTACCAAATGAAACCCACCACCTGCTCCCTTGATCCATCCCTACTCCGCTAATATCTCCCAGCTCCACCTCCTTTCCTCATCATTTACAGACATCGTGAACCTCTTTGTGTTTACTGGCACCATTCCAATCTCCTTAAAGACAGAAGACAAGTCTCTCTTCTCAAACTACTGACCGATCTCCAACCTTTCCTTTCCAAGATCTACGAACGAGTTGTTGCTTCTCAGCTTCTCTCTTTCCTCTCCCACCACTTCCTGTTTGAACCTCTCTAATCTGGTTTCTGCCCATAGAACAGACACAAGAACAACGAGTATTTATATAGCACCCTTCACGCCAGACGGTGTCTCGGAGACAGCCTTAGTCAGTTACAAATGACATTCTGTCTATCTATGACTGGGGCTCTCTCTGTTTCCTTGTCCTTCTTTATCGCTCTGTTGCCTTTGACACTGTTGACCACTTTATTCATCCAGTCTGTCACTAGTGTGAGAAATAAAACCAGGCAGTTTGACATAAGTGTGAAGTAAAACCATAGTGGTCACTCTCGGCTGACATCAAAAAGACTGATGCTCTCTTGCTTGGCTCCCATCAGCATCTCCCCACCTCAGGCGCTGACAACATAACTGTTCATGAATGCATTCTCCGCCTTGCTGAACCAGTACGAACCTTGGTGTCTTGTTTAACATTTTTTTAGGGTCAGGCCTTCAGTCTTTCTGCCCCCAGCCTCTGGAATTGTGTCTCAGAGTCCCTCCTTCAAGGCCCATCTAAAGATATTCCGTTTCAACCATGCCTTTGGTCATCTTCCCTCTTCCACTCCATGCCCTCCACCCTTCTCTGATCCCAACCTATAGCTTGGGTGCAAAACCCTCATTGTCTCATGCCTTGGGACATGAAAGACACAATATAATTGCAATTTTGTTGTTGTTCGGCCAGGTTAATAATTCACAGGCAACAGATGAAGGTTGGAATGTAAACAACAATCTGAGCAGTAATATTCTTGCTGGGCTGTCTTGTCCGGCTAGCCGGTGTTTTAGTATATCAATTTTCCCTAGCTGAAAAGAATACAGCATAAAGAAGTATAATTTTACACCACGAGATGAATTTCCAGCTAAGTATAAGGCTCAATAAGGAACCACAAAATAGACTAATGAATACAACAACAACAAGATTACATTTGTATAGCGCCTTTCATGTCGGGAGGGCATCCCAAGGCGCTGTTAAGGAAAGAGCATGTGGAAAAATAACAGAATGGATAGGAAACTGGCTGCAAAACTGAAAACAGAGAGCAGGGGTAAAGGGTAGGGTACAAGGATCGGTATTGGGACCACTGTTGTTCATAATATACATTAATGATTTGGATTCGGGAATCAGCAGTACAATTTCAAAATTTGCGGATGACACCAAATTGGGTGGAATAGTTAATACCAGAGGAGGAATGCAACAAATTACAGCAAGACATTAATAAACTTGCTGAGTGGGCATTTAAATGGCAAATGCATTTCCATGTAGAAAAGTGTGAAGTTACATTTTGGTAGAAGGAATACGGAAGTCACATACATCCTGGAAAATAAAAACCTAAATGAGGAGCAAAGGGATCTAGGGGTACACATACACAATTCACTAAAAGTAGCAACGCAGCTTAATAAGGCCATAAAAAAAGCAAACCAGATATTTGTGGAGTCCTGTAGCTCAGTGGTTAGAGCACTCACTTTACAAGCGAGAGACCTGAGTTCAATTCCAGGCAGAGGGCGAAACCTTGGGCAAGTTTCCTTACTCCACACAGAGCCTAATAATAATCCCTCCAAAACCAAAAACAATAATAAATTGGTCATTTTCAATCTACGACTGTTCGTGGGACATTGCTGTGCGCAATTGGCTGCCGGGTTCGCTACAAATATACAGTCAATTCACTTTACAGTGTGTTCTGTGAAGCGCTTTGGGACGTCCTCCCGACGTGAAAAACGCTATATCAAATGCAAGGATTATTATTATTATTGGGGCTCATTTCTGGAGGGATAGAAATGAAAACCAGGGAAGTTACAATAAACCTCTATAGAACCTCGGTTAGACCACACTTAGGATATTGTGTGCAGTTCTGGTCCCCACATTATAGAAGGGTTGTAGAGGTACTGGAGAGGGTGCAAAGGAGATTTGCAAGGATGATCCCAGAACTGAGAAGTTATACCTATCAGGAAAGGCTGAACATACTTGGACTCTTGAAAAGAGGGTAAGGGGTGACCTGATAGAGGTCTTTAAAATGATGAAAGGTTTTGATAGGGTAGACATAGGGAAGATGCTCCCACTTGTGAGGGATACCAAACCCCGGGGCTATCAATATAAAATAGTCACAAATAGATCAAATAGGGAAGTTAGAAGAAATTTCTTCAAAACAAGTGTGGGAATGTGGAACATGCTACAAGGAATTGTTGAGGCAAATAGCATAGATGTAATTAAGAGAAAGCTGTATAGGTACATGAGGGAGAAAGGAATAGAAGGTTATGCTTGAAGGCTTAGTTGAGGAAGGGCAGGAGGAGGCTCATGTGGAGCATAAACACCGGCATAGACCAGTTGGGCCGAACGACCCGTTTCTGTGCTGTATATTCCAATGTATATTAAACCAGATGGACTTTAAAGATCCCTTGGCACTCTTTGAAAAGAGAAGGGAGTTGCTCCCAGTGCCCTGGCCAACAATGCTCCAGATAAATGTATTTTTCACCTCATGGTTGTTTGTGGGACATTGCTGTGCACAAATCGGCTCCCATATCTGCCTACAAATACACAGTCATTACACTTTCTAGCTAACTTTGAAAGAGCTTAGAGACCTTCTCAGCACGTTATCAAACTATTCTGCACTTGAAGACTCATTCTGGTCTTTTTAGCTCACCTTCCCCCTGAAGAACACACTTGTTTGGATCAACTGCCTTTGTGACAATAACTCCAAACACTTCAAGCCCGTTGCACTGTGCTGCCCTCTCCTGAGGTTCGAATCGTATTGCATCGTCCTCTCCTGGGCGAGTACTGTAACTGATCTGGTGTAGCTGCTTCAGCCGTTTCACCACCACATGCTTGGTCAGTAGGATCTCCACGTGGGAGCCACTGGTCAGCAGGTGCTCTGTGAAATCCACACCAGTCTTCACATCCGAGAACATCTGCTCCAACTGGATCTGCTGCAAATGCAGGGAATTCTCCTTGTGAATTTTCAGCTCTTCCAACTCTTTCAAAAGTCTACCTTGATGCGCCTCCAAAGCCTTGATGTAATACTCTGTGAACGTTTTAATTTCTTCGGCTATTACTTTGGTCCGCTCTCGCACTTGCAGCTTGGCTCTGCCGATGTCACGTAACGTCTCCTGCAGTTGCCTGACGTGCGGTTGTGTTTGTTTGAGCAACTCTCGAATAAAATCGCCATGCTTGTTGATAACGTTAGCAATGAAATCACAGCGGTGGTCACGATGTTCCACCATACAACAATCCCGGCACACCAGACGATCGCACGTCTCGCAAAACAGCCGTAGTTCCTCTGCTGGGTGAAATGGGCAAAGCACGGGCTTAGAAATCCTTCCCTTGCCACATTTCAGATCCCTCAGGGCCACTGTAACATGGGAAGCAGTTTTTCTCTGCCTTCTGGAGGAGGAATACATAACAAGAAAAGGTTAATATATTCATAATCATGGCAGTACAAGACAAGCATAGTTCCTATAATTATTGGTGCAACTGGGACCGTTAATAAGACAATTCAGAAATAGCTTGACAGATACCCAGTGCACAAAATGTGCACTTCCTGCAGAAAGTTCAATTACTAAGAAAAGTAACAGTTATTCAAGTGTAACATGGCAGTATTTTTGTTCTGGCTGACCCTCACAACAACATAATAATAATATTCACTGGACAATTTGTAAACATCAACTAGCAAAAGTTACATCGAGAAACAACATCACAATAATCTGGGATTCAGATTACAGAACAGGACAATCTGCTAGAACAGATCATACACTATCATAAAAAAAATCAAATAGATTGTACATGTAGTTAGCGAATGTGTTAGCGTCCAGAGGGACTTGGGTGTCCTTGTACACCAATCACAGAAAGTTAGTCTGCAGGTGCAGCAAGGAATTAGGAAGGCGAACGGTATGTTAGCATTCATTATGAAAGGATTAGAGTATAAGAGTAGGGAAGTCTTGCTGCAACTGTATAGGGCCCTGGTGAGACCACACCTGGAATACTGTGTCCAGTTTTGGTCTCCTCATTTAAGGAAGGACGTACTTGCTTTGGAGGGGGTGCAGCGTAGATTTACTAGGTTAGTACCAAGGACGAAGGGGTTGAGTTGCGAGGATAGGCTGACCAACTTGGTCCTATATTCTCTAGAATATAGAAGAATTAGAGGGGATCTTATAGAAACCTATAAGATCATCAAAGGGTGTGATAGAGTAGATAGTGGGAGATTGTTTCCCCTGGTTGGAGAAACTAAAACCAGAGGTCACAACCTTAAAATCAGAGGCCAGCACTTTCGCACTGAGTTGAGGAAGAACTTCTTCACTCAAAGGGCGGTGAATGTATGGAACTCACTGCCCCAAAGGGCTGTTGATGCTTAGTCCTTGAACAAATCCAAGACTGAGATAGATAAGATTTCTTATTGCAAAAGGAATTAAGGGATATGGGGATAAGGCAGGGTCAGGTTATTAGCTGGAGTTAGATTAGAAGATCAGCCATGATTGAATAGCGGGGCAGGCTTGAAGGGCCCAATGACCTACTCCTGCTCCTACATGTTATGTTATGTAGTACTATCGATTTGGCTATCCCAAGTGATAATGCAAAATGCAAGGAACTAGAGAAAATCAGGAAACATATCAATCTATAAATTGAATGTGCACTTATGTGGCAATGTAAAACAAACATAGTTCCTATAGTCATCAGTGCAATTGGGATTAAGACTATTCAAAAATGGCTTGACAAAATACTCGGTGAACAAAATATCAATCTCCTTTAAACTATAACATAATGAGAATATTAACAATAAAATCGCAAAGTTGACCATAGTAGTGCTGATTTCAAAGTGGTGCACAAGGTATGTCAGCCTGACTATTATTGGCCGTTCCCTCTCCCGCGCTCTCCATGGTCATGTTGTTGAAATCAAAACTTAATTCACTGTCTCGTCTCAAATTTATTCAACTTCACCACTGTGAAATGCCTCTCAGCTCCCTCACCTTTCACTTTTTTATATAATTTACAGATTACTAAATTCCAAACGTGACAAAAACCAACTACTTCACTCACTGAGTTTCTGCTTTCTATATTGCTGGTTGTTGTGTTAATGGACCTTGACCCTTCATCCAGCCTCTGAACCTAAAGATGTGCAGTACCAGCAGCACAGGTGATGACAACATGGATGAGATCACTTTCCTAATACGTATACTACACTACAATCATTAATCTGTGTGTAAATCAAACAAACACCATAAAAACCAATTAGAGAAAGTTATTGAGCAAAAGTATAAAGACAGGCTAAAAGTATTAGTCCAATCATCGTGTTTCACTGCCCGTCACGACTTAATTTACTTTGCAGTTGCAAAAAAAAAGGGGAAATGCAATCTGATGCCCCTTCCAAACAGTACCTTACCTGTGTGCTTTGGAACAGAAGTCACAGAGATTTACACAACACATGTCACATCTTCTTTCAGCATCCCCATCATTACACAGATCACAGACCAGCCCAGAATCAGCTCTCTGTATGCGTTCCAGTAAGACCTCATTGAGAATCAACTGGTTGCTGGTCAATGCTTCCACTCCAGCAACTGGTAAATCCACTTCACAATCACAGACTGGGCACAGGATGACAGCTTCAGGTCCACAATGGTCCACTGAGACACCAGGTCCACGATCATCCTCCCTCTGAGCCCTGGGAATAGAGAACTGCTTCAAGCCCCTGACACACTCCAGGCACAGTGTGTGAAGACAGGGTAAGATCCTCGGATCTCTGTAGAGATGATTACAAACTGAACACTTGGTCCCACAGCTGCCTGAAGCTTCTTCAACATTGGAAGAGAGTGGAAATGTCTTACCAGAGGCAGTTTGTGACTTGTCCTCAGTTCCTGACATTTTGGAAACCTCCACCTCACAATGCCACTAACAACAACAACAACAACAACAAGATTCCATTGAGAGAGCCTTTCACGTCGGGAGGACGTCCCAAGGCGCTGGACAGTTGGGTCAGGACCCGAGCATTGGGGGGGAAATGGTCAGGGTGAGGGGAGGGAAGGGAGGGAGCGAGGAGGGGGTAGAGAGTCGAGAGGGGAGCCGAAGGCACGGTCAAAAACTTAAGTTTGAGCAGATTCAGTTTGCTCAATTGTAACCGTTTACAAATTCCCTTAATACGTGTTTTTTTTTCCCCCTTCCAGACGCGTTCCTTCAGTCTGCTTCGTCCCTCTTAAAAAAAAATTAAAGATGTTGCATCTGAATCCTTCTTCATTTCATTTTTTTTAAAAAAAAAATCCCCTACCCCCGGACTCCAAAAATGCGTGGAATTTGCAACCCAAATCGCCTTTGAAGATATCTTTCAACTCCCCTGAAATCTCACACAACAGAGACATGAGAGAGACTTTCAAACCACACCCCAGTCAATTGTTTTCCCAAAATATTCACAGCAAAAAATGTCCCACTCGCCTCTCCCTGAGGGAGTGATTGCTCCAGAGTTCAGCTGCAGAAACATATTTTAGCCTCATTTTTTGAGTGTGAGTGAGTGAGTGTGTGTGTGTGAGTGAGTGAGTGAGTGTGTGTGTGTGTGAGTGTGTGTGTGTGAGAGTCAGTGAGTGTGTGTGTGAGTGAGTGAGTGAGTGAGTGAGTGTGTGTGTGTGAGTGAGTGAGTGAGTGTGAGAGTCAGTGAGTGTGTGTGTGTGAGAGTCAGTGAGTGTGTGTGTGTGTGTGAGTGAGTGAGTGTGAATGTGCATCAGAGACTGCAGACCCTCAGTGCCCCTGTGAACAGCTGCAGAGACCAAACCACTTGTAACACTCCCCACTGCCACTCCCAGTCCTGGCCACAATGTAGCCGCTCCCCTGATGGACGGCCCGGCCGCCCAATCGGCGGCCGCGCACTCACACCGCTCCAACCAATCGGGCGCCGGTAGGCGGGACCATGGGGGGAGGGCACGTGGGTGGGTGGGGGGGGGGGGGGGGGGGAGGAAAGCCGAGCGGAGCCGAGAGGATCCGAACTGAGCCCGAAGAGCAGTGCGGCGCGGGGGAGCACCTGCTGCCCCCAGAGCCCTGGAGGACCGGTGGCATTAATAGTAATAATAATAATAATAATAATCCTTGCATTTGATATAGCGCTTTTCACGTCGGGAGGACGTCCCAAAGCGCTTCACGGAACACACTGTAAAGTGAATTGACTGTATATTTGTGGGCGAACGCGGCGGCCAATTGTGCACAGCAATGTCCCACAAACAGTCGTAGATTGAAAATGACCAATTTATTATTGTTTTGGGTTTTGGAGGGATTATTATTAGGCTCTGTGTGGAGTAAGGAAACTTGCCCAAGGTTTCACCCTCTGCCTGGAATTGAACTCAGGTCTCTCGCTTCAAAGCGAGTGCTCTAACCACTGAGCTACAGGACTCCACCAATGATGCCCACTCCACTCCACTGTTCTTTTCTCTTCTTCAACCCACACCCGAGGCAGGGACTCGCGCCCAGACAGCTTTGTGAAGCTCTTTGAGATATTCCTCTCGCGTTAGAACGAACGATTCCGCTTTCGCCCGCAAACATGCAGTCGACTCGCTTTACCCATATAATAATAATAATAATCCTTGCATTTGATATAGCGCTTTTCACGTCGGGAGGACGTCCCAAAGCGCTTCACAGAACACACTGTAAAGTGAATTGACTGTATATTTGTGGGCGAACGCGGCGGCCAATTGCACACAGCAATGTCCCACAAACAGTCGTAGATTGAAAATGACCAATTTACTATTGTTTTGGGTTTTGGAGGGATTATTATTAGGCTCTGTGTGGAGTAAGGAAACTTGCCCAAGGTATCGCCCTCTGCCTGGAATTGAACTCAGGACTCTCACTTGCAAAGCGAGTGCTCTAACCACTGAGCTGCAGGACTCAACAAGTGGTATGTCAGCGCAGGAGATGCAATGCCTGCCCTTTCACCTCCTCCCATACAACAACAACAAAATTACATTTATAGAGCAGCTTCCAGGTCGGGAGGACGTCCCAAAGCGCTGACGTACCACTGTCCAGGACCCCAAACACAGAGTTCAAGTGAGACAGTGATTTACTACCACCAATGTAGTTTACTGCATTCGCTGCTCACGATGTGTCTCCTCTACAATGGGGAGATGAAACACAGATTGGGTGACCGATTTGCCGAACTCCTCCGTTCTGTCCGCAAGCACAACCCTGAGCTTCCGGTTTCTTGCCATTTCAACTTTCCCTCCCACTTGCACTCTGACCTTTCCATCCACCGTCTTCTACGTTGTTTCAAAAAGCCACAGCGCAAGTTTGAGTAACAGCACCTCATTTATCTGCTAGGGACCTTACAGCCCTCTGGCCTCAATATTGATTTCAACAATTTCAGACCATAACAGCTCACCTTCCCACTCCCCCTCTTCTGTGACCATTACCACATCATCTAAGTCCCAAACACACCTTTTCTCGCCCTCACCTGCCTGTTTTGTTGCAAGTTCTTTTTTCCCCCCACTTCTGTCCTGCAGTATTCACACCTCTATTCCCCCTCTTTGTTGCAATCCCCCCTTTGTTCAGCATCATTAACACCTCTTTAACCCATCATCCCCTGTCCTCTACCCCATTTTCTCCTTTGTCTTCCTTGCCCTGCCTCCCCCCTCCCCTCACTGTTAGCTCTTAAAAGCCTCTCCCTCCCAACTTGCCCAATGATTGTAGGGAGCAGGAAGGTTGGTAAGGTGGTAGTAGATCGAACTCCCTGTATAGAGGAGCAAGACCTCGGAGGTCTTTGAGAGGACGAGGATCTTAAACCCAATCTTCTGGAGGTTGGGGAGCCAGTGAACCCGGGTGAAACTCACAGAGCTTGGTGTGGGAGAGGACATGAGATGCACAGTTCTGAATAATCTGTATAAATGATATACATAACATTGTTTAATATAGGAATCAATCAAATCATTTTAATGTTGTGAAAATAATAATAAAAGATAATAATAATCCTTCCATTTGATGTAGCGTTTTTCACGTCTTCTAGACATCTCAAAGCGCTTCACAGAATATACTGTAAAGTGAATTGACTGTATAGTTGTGGGCAAAACGCGGCAGCCAATTGCGCACAGCAGTCTTCCACAGCAGTCGTGGATTGAAAATGACCAATTTATTATTGTTATTTATTATTGAAAAATAATTCAGAAACACTGAATGTTTGTAAATTTTCCTTATTTCTCCAACCAACACTATTCCCCTTCCACACAAGCCATCTTCCTCCTTTGAAAGATTGGTGACATGAGGAACAACTTTTCCATTCGTGCAGATAATTTTGTTTTAAAACAGGTTAAGTGATCTTGTAAGACACTTTACTAGATGACAATGTCTTTCAGAAAAGTACAGATTGCTAATATCACATCATATGCCTACTATGCACAAATGCTATCATCGATGCACTTTATAACTTTGTTTAATGGTGGTATAATCACACCTCTTAGAAGTGAAACATTGCAGTTACCATTTAGAAAAGTAGTTGTATATATTCGCAAAACATTGCAGTTACCATTTAGAAAAATAGTTGTATATATTCGCATTCTTGCAAATTGTTAAATTCGACAATAGCAAAGATCATAAGCCACCAGCCATAGTTAGTTCTGAAAGCTTATGCCACACTGGCAGACTTCTAAATGGTTAAAATCAGCATGAAGATCTTGTGGATCATATTTTGTTGCGCGTCTAAGCTTTTAAAAACATCATTAAAGAAAAGCAACCACAATTCAAAACAGCTACTCGTCTTTATTTCTATACAATGACTTCCTGTTTTTCAGCCTTTTTTTATGTTTTACATTATTGCTGCAGACATATCTTGAATTATGGCTTCACAGAAAACATGTAAATTACCAACAAATATGAGAACTGGTGTGCTGCAATACTACAGTAATACAGCACATTATTATTAAATGCTAATTGACAAAATGTTCTCATGAAAAATATCTTTTTTTGCATATTCTCAATTTGTCTATGTAACAACAACATTTCTCAACAGTTCTATTTTGTAAAGTACCACAAGATGTTTATTTTCAAAAGGAAGGCGTTATAACAATTCAAATCGCTATTAGTTTCACTCACTAAAGATTGCCATAAATATAACAATAATAAACAATCACTGAAATTACACTTTTGGCATAAAAATCTACCAAAATGTTACAGTGAGATAAACAAGTTAAAATTTCTAAATTGTGCAGTCAAGCTGCGCATTGTATAATATTCATAATAGTATTCTGCTCCAAGACATTGATGAAAAGTGATCAGATACCCTCCTCATCTTAGCAACCAGACAATAATGCTTACTATTTCTATTGTGAGATTTTGACTAGATCTCAATCTAGACCATAACCCAAAATTTCCCAGATATAAGAATCACTGTTAATATTCGTGCCTTGTGAATTACATGTTGAAACAATCAGTTGAATACTGTAACTCTGGTGGGTATACTGTAATAACACATTGCAGGCACATTAGCAATACAGATATAAGCATAGACAACATAGAGAGTAATACCAGGGTTACTAATAATACTAGCTTTCTTATACAGAGATTAACCTGAAAGAAGGCACAGAGGATGAAAGGTTTCATGTAAAATCTGTAGTTAAGAAACCGCCAAGTTTAGTTGTGGGTATGTGCATACCTGTCTCCATTCAATTGGGAACACGCCTTATTAATATAATCTGACAGTTTGCATTTGACCACCTTCATGTCTCTCATTGATCTCTTCTAAAGGAGATACATTTCTGGTCAGCAACCAAGCCAACACTTTTATTTCAACATCATGCGTGACTTTAGTAAGATGGTTTTTATTTTCTGTTTCTTAAGCCAAGGTAAGCAACAACGTTCACTCCAAATTTGTTGTAATTTTTTTCCCCACTCAGACCAATTGAATGATTACAGGTTAATCTTG